GCCTCTTTATTGGCCTCCATGCACAGATGCTCCAAATGAACATTTAAAATCTGTACTGTACTACCTGAATTTCTCTCTGCTTCTGCTTTGATCGTTGAAAAGTTACAATCATTACATGTCATTTAGCTGACGTTTTTATCCAAAGCGACTTACAATAAGTGCATTCAACCATAGGGATACAAACTCAGAAGAACAAGAAACAAGAGTGCAATTTCCTCAAATAAGCCAATTCACAGCTAGATAAGTGGCATTACAAGTACAATTCAAGTGCTACAATTTGTTTTGTCTTTTAACAAATTCGCATTTTTAACAAATTTCTAACCAAATCGCTGGCAGGAAGCCGTGAATTCACTTTCTCTTCCTCTCACTGAGGCCTTTCAGCCAGCCGCCGGTAAAACAGAAAGGTAACAAGTCTGAATGAAACCGGCTCCAGTCTGCAGCGAGCGCCAGGAGTAATAGATCATCAGGTCGCTGCGTTCGACACATCTCACTGACCAGCATCACAAAGAACATGAGCGAGGGAGATGTTGGCGATGAGAGAGGGACTAATTGTTTGCAGCGCCTAAAGAATTAATAAGGTAGTGAAGGTAGCGTCGGATTACTCGGCTGCTCAGTAAAAAGTGAAGGCTGTGAGCTCCTGGCTTTGTGGACGAGATGAACTCCACTTTGTTCTTGACAAAGGCTCTTAGAAACATTCAGGGGCCAGAGGGTCAGTGGTTCCTGGTGCGTTTTTGTTCCCCGTCCTTCACGGCTTTCTCGTCCTCTTCTTGAAAACCTCCTCTGTTTGAGTTCTGAACTCTACCGTTGCGGTCCATTATCATATGTGCACCCCTTACATTCAGAACCAAAACCATCAGGCTAATTAATCAAATTCTTTTCAGCATCACGCCTCCAACGGATGTCTGAAGCAAAAGCGCTGCGTCACCCTGCAGGTTTTCTACATTCCACCAGAGCATCTCTTAAACCAGTCCAGTTTTATGGGATGGGCGCTGCTACGGGAATGTTTCCCGAGCGCCGATCAATTCACGCAATTCAGAACCCTGACCCACTGACGGAGTCCTAGTGGCCGCGGCTCTTTCTCTGGTGTGTTGTGTCCAGGAGGTCGGGGGTTTCCTCTTTCTGCTTTTCAGACAAACTGAGGCTCCTTTGTGCTCCCCAGCCATTAGCTGGAGCAGGACTTGGTGTAATCAGGGTAAATAAGGAACTGATATTATCGCTGATGTATTAACAAGCATACATCGACTCTCCCGGATGCCCCTCCCCCCTCACCCTCCGCCCCCCATCACCCTCTACATGCTGACTCAAGTTCTAACGTAATGCTTTTATCCCACAGACACAGTTGGGGCTTTTTTTTTTCTCCTGAAGAAGTTCAACAGTTGTTGTAGAAGTATTTCTTGTCACTGTGAGAAAAATGTTTTGCAAACTGAATATTTGGTAAAGAAACTTAATCACGCACGTAGCTGCTCTTTGTTTGGAAAATTGCATGACAAAGCAAAGTTATTGCGTAACCGGCGCATACTTTCAGGCAAGAATGCCCTCGAGGTTAAAATGCCTGAGAACATATGGCTCCAGCAGGGAGAATTAGATCTACATCTTTAAGATATTATTATTGGCATAAGGCAGGACACCAAGTTCAAGCACCCAGGACTAAATGGCAACTGAATCTGACCCCATATGGGTTAAACTGACTCGCATTGTAATTGGCCTTGATAATTGGAAAATGTAGATTAACCAAACCTAAATACTGTTTTTGGTTCCCACCTAAATGTATCAATTGCAACCAAAACCGGCATGAATGTCCGGTCCGGATATCAATCTTCTCCCGCTGATTCTTATAATACTTTTTACCGCTTTACTTTTTAAAGATTTACCGCTTTACTGCACTGCAGACAGTATTTCACCGATGTATGTGTAAGAACACAGTGACCTCTTCATTAGAACACGTTTGAGCAGTCATGTCGAGGCAGGCAGATCTTGAAACGCCACGGATCACATCTTCTCTCTCGGGTTGTCCGCCCACACAGTCTGCTTCGTAAAATCAAAGTAGTAGCAGTGCCTGGATCATCTCCGCCTACAGCCACTCTCAGTGAACCTTGCAGTGGACCTGGATGGACTCCAGTGTGTTTGGCTGAGTCAGAGCTGTGCCGCTGGCTTCCCTCTTACTACCCGGGGGTCAGTTTCTCCCTCGGGCTGTGGTTCATCTTGTGGAGAGCTGGCAAAGATCCTGCTACACACTGCTGGTGCTTTACAAAACCAAACCAATCTCCTTCATCTGAGTTTGCTCTGATCGTAGCATGAATCACATAATCGAGTCGACTGTTTTTAAGGTTTTGTTCTTTGATGCATTTGAGCCGTTAGTGACGGATTGCAGGAGACATTTATCACACATTATCAGTACATTGACTATATTTGTGAAGACAAATTTGAAAAAAGAAAGCACTGTTTATTGACAATGGGTTTCACGCTGGCCTGTCCGAGCTGCAAAATGTTCCAAAGAGGAAATGAAATATATGAAATCTGCTTTGGTGTAGATACACCGCCCGGTGTTAGTGCTATTCACTATTACATCCCTCCACCCCACCAGCCTGCCCACTGAGCATAGCCTCCCAAACAACTTCTCTATCGCTGGTTCGCATCAGAATTCACTCATGAGATCAGAGTGCGTCCGGCCCCATGCGACTGTGTAGCGGCCGGCCCATTATTCAGCCTCCTCTTATGACACAACTCTTTTCAACCCTATTCAGCTCCTCCTGCCGGGGATATTAACAGATTACCTCTCTGCTGACCTTCCATCGTCCACAGCTGTAAACATTAGCGGTAGTGGCTTCGTTTTCCATTACATCTGTGTGCTTAACCGCTCTACTGTTGCCTCTGTGAAGTGTGAGCTAAAGCTGTTAATGTTTAGCATTATTCCACAGCGAGCAGGAGGCAGATGGCTGCAGGAGCAGATTGCAGGGTTTAGTTAATGAGCAGATAAACCTGCTGAAGGGAACCGCTCCGCTTTGTGTTTTGTGAGATGCAGATTTTGGTTCTTGTTTTTATCGGCAGAGGTTACTCCCTCTTCCACCAAACCGGGCCAAGAGTCGTGCCGGTGTGGAGGGCCAAGCCATCTGCCCCAGAGAGGGGGGAGGGATGGGGGAGAGATGGGGGGGGGGTACCGTCACACAGGTTTGGCAGACATTTTGTTTCTGCTCTGTATCACGTCCCTGTTTGTGATGGCGCATTGGTGCATATCAATGAGCTGTCTGACGATGGGATGCAAAGGATGTTTGCATCAACTTAATGTTGAGCATTTTTCAATTTCAAATAATTTGATCTCCATTGACGACTCCTCTTTGGTTCACACTGAAATAACTAAAAAAAAACACCAAATGGCAGGTTTGCATTTTTGGCTGTTTCTTAAGTATCTCAACAATTTTACACTTTTTCTTCTAGTCCAAATAACTGCAGTAGCAATGACAAAGTAATGGCATTCTCATCAGCCCTCGGCTGTACTTTTTCATGCTAAGCACATCATCCCTGCTAAACACAAAAGGAAAGAAAAGCAGAGGTCAAATACAGGCCACTAAAATATTTGGAACAACGCTTTGCCATATCTGCCTATCTGTACTACTGAGGCTGGGACCGTTTAATCCTCTAGTTTCTCTCACAGTTGTGTGTCTGTGTGTGTGCTTGCGTGCATGCAATTGTGGTCATGTGCGCAGACAGAGAGATTTCATTTCCTCACAGACAGATCAACAGCAGAGAGATCAACAGACAGACAAGATGGATACAGAGAGGAGGGTGATACAGAAAGAGAGATAGAGGCTGCACAGCTCGGCCCTCTCTTACCAAGCAGGATTTTGGGGTTGGTGAAGGTAACTCTGAGGCTAACGATGGATTTATAATCCCATGATGGTGATTCATTTCTAATCCAGGTAGACCGCCACGCTACATTCCAAGGGATTTATAACCTGTGCGGGAACACAGACTCCGGGCAACTACAACACTATCGACAAATATGAAAAAGCTCGGCAACACAGTATAAAAACTAATTTGTCATATCTAGAAATGATTGCTGGCCAAAAATGTGTACAAAAGTGTGGATTAGTAAATTTATATCCTAATATCACTCCCCCCATCTAAGAGCACAAGAGATCTAACTATTAATGTGAGTATTCCCTGGGTTGTTTCTACAGCTTATTAAACAAACACTAGTTTCAGATCTGTATTCGGTTTCAGTACTGAAAAAGTCCGATAGGTGCTTATCTAATTAGCCTAGTCAGCCTATTTGTTTGTAAAATATGCCGCTCTTCGACTTGTCCGTGTGACTTGTCCTTGTAACGTCAACACGCTCATATCCTGAGGGAGAAACTCCTGGGTTTCTTTACAGAGTTGTTGACCTCTGTGCACGTTAGTTGAGTCAGATAACACAACGATACCCTGGGTATGTCGGGCCCCCACAGGGCTGCTAACACTGCTCACTCAGCTGGGCACTGATGTCTGACATGCAACATCTCCAGGACCAGTGGGAAAGAAAGTTATTCTCGATCCATTCTCGAATCAAGTTGCATCACTCTGCATTTGACAAACAGTCGGTATTGTTCCTTCACCTCTTTAGTTTTACAGCCGCTTCCTGATAAGTTACAGCTCCTCCTCCTCCATCTGCTGACTGAAACTCCATTCGCTGCCTGTTGTGATTATTAACCACAGCAGAATGCACACGACCAGCACTGGAGGCCTGTGATGATTAAGTGAGATAGTCAGTGTGTATTGTGCTGGCCGTGGCCAAACTGACTGAATTTACATGAGACGACTTTCCTCTTTCTAAATAAAATGAATGCGATGGTTGTCATGGAAATGTTGCCATGCTCAAGAGTTGGAAACCCCCAAAACTGTTAGGAGCAGTTTGACAAACAAAACAGTTTACTGGACGAGTTCTCCAAAAGGTGCAAACATGAAGCATTATGTTATTCAGGCAAAAGACGAGCGGTGACCCCTTTTCTCTCCTCTCTCCACAGCCATCAAGGTGAACTGTCACGGCTCATGTGGGATCTCCAACAAACTGAACGACGCCTCGTGGGCTCTGGAGGAGCAGTACTTCAACCGCACGGTCACGCTTGCCGACAGAGGTGATGAGAGTAAAAGCACGATGCTTTAGCCTTTCTGCTGGTTGTCCTATATTGACGCATAGGAGCATTAATGGCATCCATAATGTTCAGGCTTTGCTGCACTTTTTTATTCTATGATTGTAAGAATCACATGACGTTTTTCCTATTTGGTTGCATAGAAGTTCAGTTAAACTGGTCTAAAACGAGTTGTCCTTTAACAGTAAAGCACTTCACCTCTGTGTTACTGTACAGAATCTCAGCTTACATCCTACAATGTCAGCCCTCTTATCGTATGACTGAAAGCCTCATTTGGTTTCGGGGGAATCTGCTGCAACAGGCTTAATCTCACAAAGGCCGCAGCAGGTTTTTAGCAGCCGTGTCTGAGGACTGAAAGTCTCAATCAGTCCGAGTAGCAGTCCCCTGCAGTCTTGCTCCAGCCAACCTCTCCGCACGCCGCCCCTCTGAGATGAGACGTGGTCTGCAGTGTCTGATCCACAGAGGACGGCTCTTATGTTTCGTCCACCTGTCTCTGGGTCCCATCCGGCCCTGCTTGCACGCTTCCTGCCCGGCCGCGGAAGCGAGGGCTTACAGGACCTTTTGTTGTGAGGGCTGTCTTCCATCTTTTCTATTGGTTGCTGCCCACGGTCAGAAGCTGAAATGTGCTTAGCGTGCATGAAATGTGTTGTAAATGCAAATCCCACAGAGGGACTTAATGGAGCGTTAAGTGCATGCAGGTGGAAACACAGAGAAGCACGTCAATGTTTAACGTTCAGGACGGTGCCTCAACAGTATACACATATACATATATATATATATATATATATATATATATATATATGCATTTATGCTACTTCAGTTGGCACATGTATGACACTTTTCTAGTTAAGTGGCATACTATAAATTTACAGAAAAAATATGACAGAGTAAACTACCATTATGTGCTTAAATTAGCTTGACCAGATGTTTGTTAATACATCAGTTTAAATAATTCAATAATATGAATGAATAATATGTATGTACTGGGGCTGAATGCAACACATAGACTTCACAAGATTTCACAGAGATTGTCTCATTTTTTACAAACAGGAATGTATAGCATCTATTTTAGATTGGACATGGACACGTAGCAACCAATGACACGGTTATTACTAAAACTGAAGATATGTTGCATTGTAGATACTATACATGTCTATATTACCATCGTGAAGTTAAATATTCCTTGTCAGACAACAACATACATTTTTGCTCCTTTCTGTTCATCTTCCTTATTGTGACTTGATTGGAAAGTATAATTATTACTACCATGTAAATAATTGCAACGTTTCATTAGGGCATTTAGAATTTTAAACAAGGAAGTGAAACTCAGACTGCAAACATGAACACGCCTGCGTCACAGTGTTACTATATGAGCTTTGTTCAGAATGCAGCATTGATACAGGCCTTGTACAACGATTTAGAAAAGAGAAACATATAAGATATCACCAGGGTGCCAAACGGTCAGGACAAAGCAACGGACAAGTAAGGATAAATATAGAACATATTTATAGGACATCCACACTTATTTTGGTATCATGCGTTCAGGGTATTGAAAGTCCAGTGTAGTGGAAACTGGCACAAGCTGTCAGACGTGTTGTCTTCTTACACTGTTTCTCTGATCAGCTAGTTCCCTGTTGTACTTTATTTGTTTGCCAGTTTTAGACTATTTTGTTTCAGAGCTTCTTGTTTTTTCAACTTTTTAAAACAATGGAGAATTTTCCTTTCTTTTGTAGAAATTAATTTGTCAAAGTTAATCCTTTTTGTATTGACATTAAAAATCAGGTATTGTTTCAGGTTTAGTCTTAACAATTCTAAAGAGAACCAAACTGTCAAACAAATTCAAATTTCATCTGACATTTAGCTGTTGGTTTCTTCCTTATACAACAGTGTTGAAAAATATAATGTTTGAGCAATTTTTAATTGTATTATTTCATCATCAAAGGAGTTGATGGTATAATGGTTACCTTCCTTGAAAATATTCCTGAAAAAGTCCTGCTTATCCAACTTCAGATAATCACACCGAAACATCTGTTCACACCTTTTAGAGAACTCATGCTAAGAATGCCAAGATAATTATCCGTGTTCAAACAGTCTGACCCAGTTATTATGGCACCACAATAAATCTAAACTGATCATTAAAGTAATTACAAATCATCATCCTGGACCATGAGCATCAACACCAGGAACAAATGCTCCCCCTGTCTGTCCAGTGGAATCTTGTAGTCTTCTATTAGAGTAGTTATTGGTGCTGTGGGTAAAACGGGATTAACATTAGACTAAAAGGATGCTCTAATCTGGTGCTGTGGTTAAGAAAATCTACTGTATTTCTGCTCCCTCGTCCCAATTTCTTGCCTCTTTTTACAAGGCTCTTGTTGTGGAAGATTTTGCACAGACAATCAGTAAATAAGAAAAAGGTTGAGTCAAATATGTCTTTCCTTGTTCGTTGTTTATTTCCTTGCAAGGGAAAAAAGGTCACAACAGCAACATGCTCAGTAAACTGCCACGAACCTTCCTCCTCTCACAACGGGGCCTGGCACTTCTTATACAAACAGGTGGCCTCCAAGCCAACTTGTTGTGTGTCTACAGCCAGAAGACTGGCATCATGTCTACGGGTGGGAATCTCTTGGCACCTCACGATTCGATTCCGATTCAGAGGTCAACGATTCGATTCTAAACCGATTATCGATTCTAAACCGATTATTCATTCTAAACTGATAAAAGGATTATTGATGCATCTCGATTTTCTAAATTTTCTCAAATCTGAGTTTGCCACTCAGAGGTTGCTAATCACTTCCTACTTTATTTGATAATTAAAGAAAATCAACAGATGAATTACCTTCTCTATATCACAAATATGATTTTTTATCAACAATGCAAGAACCAATGCAGCTTGCATTTCAACACAATATGGAAGTAGCCTATGTAAAAAAATATTAAACAGATTCATTTTTCTTTTAAATGAAGAAAAAGCTGCTCTTAGTCTCAGACCGGTCCGTATTTGTAAAATACCGGAAAAAAGTCAAAATCTGTGAATATCTTGCCAACTTTCAATACGGATCGACTTTTTGGAAAATGGAAATAATGAGTTAAGATGTGCGCAGGCTCCTCCATAGTTCGGTAAAGTTATTAGATATTCAGATTCAGACTGACGGACCGGTCTGCGAGCTGGACGCATTGCTCCTAATGTGCCGGTAATGATGGTAAATGATGGTTGTAGCTGGTTGTCATCTACGGTCCACTACGATAACCGAAGGGGGGCGTTTGTTTTTTGACAACGTTTTATCTCATAATTTCGATTATCCCCCCCCTTACATTAGTGCGGAAATGGGCTTCTATAGTTGTGTGAATGCATCACTCCAGCCAATCCAAAGACGTGGTTTGTAACCAATGAGGTGTAGAGACCATGTGACTGGCTCCGCCCCCTTACTGTCAAAAAGAAAAACAGCGAGCGCGTAGAAAACACCTTCGAGCGCGAGCAGAGACTAACCTCGCGAGCGAGGAAGTTCACGCTCCGCGAGCGAGCAAATATCTCGCGCAAGACGGACTTTTGCTCGCGCGAGATAGACTTTTTTTTTTTTTTATTCCGATTATTAACTTTCTGAATCGAGCCCGAATCGTTCTAGAGTGAATCGAGAGAAATCGAAAAATCGTTCAATGAGACATTTTGAAGGGTTACACACATTTTTTACATTACACTTTCTACAGTTTAGTATAAAGTGGCTGCACCTGCACAGTGCTGGTTTTGAGCACAATCGCTTCCTCAAGCAGTAAACATGATGCCAATAAATGCACACACACACACACACACACACACTCATACAATCTGAGGATTTCTCCTCTTAAGCTGAGGCTAACGGGGGGAAACAGTTGTGCCCATGAGGTGAGACATGTTGCTGTCTGGAAGAATTTAATTGGGCTGTCAGATCATCTGGAGAATTAATAAGGTGCTCCCAGAGAGACGGCGATGGAAAGACTCTTATTTGTCCCCCAAGCTCTTCTAATCAACTCAGCTTGGCAAATAAGCAGGTAGAAAGAAATGTTCTTCACAGTGTTTGTGGCTAATGCAATACTTCAAATTTGTGTTGTGCAATTATTGCACCAACATTATTTGGGATAAACGATATTATTGCAATTTTCAGACCATTTTATGCCACTGACAATATAATAACATGACAATATAAGTACACTCTGTCAAAGAAAGAGAATATTTAGAGATCAAAATCGGAATGTGAAAAAAAAGATACGCTAAATAAATAAAACAAAAACAATTTTTTTTGTGCAGGGCGAAGCATCGGAAGTCCATTTGCACTTGTTTATCCTAATTGTCTGTAGATGTCACAAAAAAATAACACTTCATAACACGGTGGGTTCACGCATTCCCTTCACCTGTCGGTGTGCGCGTGTGTGTGCCTATAAGCCCCGCCCCCGCTTTCAACAATGGAAGCAGACAAGAGGACAGCGCGATCGACTAAAATGTTGGTGACGTTCATTCATATGTGAAATGAATATCGCAACCACCAAAAATGATCGCACTCACTTTCATATGTTGTGCGATAAGTCAATATATTGCATATCGCGACTTTGGAGGAGTTTGTTTTATTCCAAAACACCTCTTTGTACTTCAAAGCACTTCCTGTTAAGTTCTTCGGAATGACACATTCTGCTTTACCCACAGAGAAAGTATGATAACACAAAGTTATCGTACTTTCTTTTTCCTCCTCTTTGTGTTTCTCAGCATGAATTTCTGAAGGCATTTAGTTTGGGACTAAATCTCAAAGCAGGCTGGAGGCTGTGTATATTTTTCTTATTGCTATTTAAACGTCTGAAAAGAACAGTCAGAATGAACTGATGCCTTCAAGTGTTGTCTGTATATCCTCTCTCACACTAGCTCATGTGTTGTTTCATCACCGTGAACTCACACGCTCAATTATACAACACACACCGGCCTGCTGCTGTAAATACTCAATACGTTGCTGAATTTATCAGTCAGTCTGTAGAATGTCTGTACAATTGAACCCTGCTTGGGGTGGATCATTTGACTTTGATGTTAGAACAGAGCAGGAGAATGCACTCGGCTGTGGGTTGATCGCTGCCGGCCCCGCGGTGCATCACTGCTTGCAAATAATCGATTAACTTGACTTGCTGAGAAATGCTCCAACTTTGCCAGCTACACATGTTGTTGCTTCCTCCAACACCGGCCGATTGGTTTCAGTTACTAGTTTCGTTCACTACGAAAGACGTCTCCGCTCAGCCGTCTTTGAACAATGGAGGTGCTTTGTTAAAGGAACTCCATCCCTCTGGGAAAGTAGGGGATCCCCGCAGGGCTTCTACTGCATACTGGGAGATGTGGGAGGTCGAAATAAACACAATCACACACACACACAGAGCCTGAGAAGGTTCACTTTATTCACACCCATAAATGGAATTTAATTTAATTGAGAGACTTCCTCTTTTACAGGAACCCTGGCGGCCGGCGAGCACACCTTCCCCTTCCAGTTTCTCATTCCAGGTGAGTGTGGGAGAAACCCAGGTGACCCGTTTAACTTCATTCCCCCGTGTCGTAATGGTTTTTCATGTCCAGATAACAAACTCCGATCGGAGCATTCAACGTCTGATAACGTGAGACTCCTTTTCCTGTATGTTTGCTCAACCCGAGGCCCTTTGTCAGCCGCACACAGATCCAAGATACCAATGGCGTGTGAAGGATAATGGCAGCGTTAATGTTTAAGAGATCTGGGGAGGGACGTTGCCGACTGTGACTCAGCGTGATGAGTCATCTTTATTCCACATGCCACTTCACGTACACGCGGCTACGTAGATGGATGCCGAGGGAGCGGTGACCTCACCACGCAAAGTTCAGCGGAACACGCGAGGTTCAAACACGGCGCAGGATCTGTCTGGTATCTTGGGCTCTCTCAGGCGCGGGCTGAAGCGAGGAGAGCGTTGGGTTATTTTTAGTTCCCCCTCCTGTTGTGCAGTCACTGTTTAATTGGTCTTTATGCCCCCATGCTTCTGCCTCCCTCCTCTCAGACATGAGAACATCAGCCCAAGCCGTGTTAAACCATAATGTACTGATGAGGAGAAACAAACGTGGCCAAATTTAAAGATTTGGGGGGGTTGAAAAAAAATATTTCACAGAAACATAACATTTCAGAAAATATGTTGAATAAAATTGTCCTATGGTTGAATAATCATCTGCCGCGGTTTCATGTCGATATTCATCAGTGGAGGTTTTATACCCTGTTCACCTGAAGTGTGTACTGTGTGGGACTTTAAAATACATACATTACAGAGTTGCTTTGTCAAAAGTATTTTCTCTCTGACATTGAGCCAGAAATATCCAGTTCAGTAGCACTTACATACACCAACCTTTATAGTTTATAATCTCACGGTGCAGAGGTGTTCATACATCAGTCATAGACTCTTCTATACATTTTATTCCAACAAAGATTGTGTTTTTTATGGTTGTTGACAGTATTTTCTAAGAGTGATATAAATAGGTTCTCTGTAAAATTTTCATTGTGACATATTTATTTAAGATATTGCACCATTATTAAATACCACCGAGTATTTAATACAAAACATAATGACTGTATTGATCTAAGTAATCAGCTGTGAACGTTTGGTGGTGTTAAACATTATCACACTATAGCTCGTACGCCCCCTGCTGGTACAGCAGACAGACCCACTGGTCTGTGGTGGAAATAGACTTAAGTCTTTAGGTGAAATGACTCAAGTTTCTACTCATAGACCTTGAAGTTTGTTTAACTGTGCCAGGAAGTGTTTGCACTGGTAGTGCAAACGGTTCAGTTCTGTTTTTTAAAGTAGAAGTGAATCAGTCGACTTCGCTGTGGCAGCTGCAGCAGGTTGTCAACCAGCACATCAGTCCCACTGGGACCCTGCTGGCTATGGATGTGTGCTGGGGGCCATCGTTGATCTAGTTAGTACTTACCGTTCACTTGTCAAAGATTCCAGAAGAACAGCAGTGAAATGAGCATTCGTCTGGAGTCGAGGCATCAGATGGTGTTCTGGTGTGTGATCAGTTTTCACTGAGAGAACAAAGAATTCACAGAGACGAGGGATGGGGGCTGAGATGAAGTCAATGCAGGGGCACTTGCATGGATGAATGGGGATGGATGAAATGGTGGATGGCTTCATTCCAAGAGGACATGAGATACAATTTAAAGTTGAAAAAAAAACAAGACGAAGAATTGCTGTACTTTGGTGGACGGAGTACTAGAACATTCTACCCTTTGTCGATGATCCTTTTCATATCACCCAAGAATCGTCTTTTTCATACGGACAAACTGAATCATTTGGAATAATCAGTCAGCAGCCGATTCCACAAAGAAAGAAAAATGTCAGCAAAACACACATTTCAAGTCTGAGCTCGGAGGTTTTGGCTGCTGCACTCAATTCGGGGAGCAAGCTGTGCGACAATACGTGTGAACGAGCAGTTCGGTGTGGCGTCTCCGGGGATGATCGGCCTTGTGCTTCAGTCTGCCCTTTGTCAGTCCGTCCACAGCTCGGCCTCGCTGACATTAGCATCTGAATGAGCATCGGGGAGAAAGGGAACACTTTGAGAGAGTGAGAGTGGCTCCGCTTTTGTCCTGACAACAGATTAATCACATTTCTGTAGATTGTGTTTGTGGATTTGTATGCAGATTGTTTGTAGTGGAAGAGGGTACTTTTTTTCCTGCGTTTGAACATCTCTCTCCTGCTCCACTCCTGACTGCAGCAGCCACATTAAGTTTGTATTTTCTGTTCACAGAAATCAGGCTGAAACGCTTTGTGACAGCTACAAAAACACAACACAAAAAAATATGAACTGTTCTCATTGTCAAAGTAACGTGTACAACCTTCTCTTCAGTCGCTGCTCCGACTTCCTTTGAGGGACCCTTTGGGAAGATAATTTACCGCGTGATGGCGGCTATCGACACGCCCCGCTTCTCTAAGGACTACAAAGCCCAGAAGCCCTTCTACCTGCTCAACATGCTCAACCTAAATGAGGTGACAGACATTGACGTAAGTGTTTGCTGCAGAGGTTCACCTCCTTTCACTGCTGATCCAGCCTACCTTCTGCTATTCCGTTCTTCAAAAAGGGTTAGAACTTAATGCAGTGACACGAGGAGAAGAAGGGACGCGTCTCTTGATTTGATCAGCGCTCATCTCGGTCGAGGTTTATTTGATTTGATGGGAGAGCAGGATCTAATTTATCCTCTCCTCAACCTCCTATGTAATACTTGCGCATCATTCACTCTCTTCCCATCATGAATGCCAGATTTTCTCTGATTCTGTGGAACTGCGCAGCAACAGATAATTAGCACACCATCAGCTAATCAGCTAATGAGGCTTTCTTAATCAGCCACAACGCACGAACAAGCGTTTATCCTGCAACTCCGTCTCCGCAGCATCCGAATGAAACTGTGACCACGAAGAAGTTCAGCTACCTCCTGGTGAAGACGGGGACCCTGATGCTGAAATCCGGCAGTGACCTGAGGGGTTACATCCCCGGGCAGGTCATCAAGTTATCCACCGAGATCCACAACAAGTCCGGGAAGGACACTGGATGTGTGCTGGCCAGTCTCGTACAGGTAGATCAGTGAAGATTCACACTCATAAATAGGTTGTTTTTTGACCACCAAAAGGTCTTGCTGCAGTGGGGCAACTTAGGAAATGTTGTCTCGGCTTTCAGGTGCTGAAAAAGAAAATAGATCATAACATCCATGAAGAAAAATAGCATCATGTGGGTCTTTACAGCCTTTAATAGGTGCAGTGATTAAAGGATATAAGGATTTTATTATCATTCATTAAACTAGATCCTCAGCGTCGGAGCTCATCAGATCTCTTTATATCTCAAGAAATAGAGCTTTTCTTGATCCATATCAAATAAACTAGAGGAGGGTGAATTGCCCTGATGTCATCATTGCGTCTTTTTGTGTCCGCGCACCAGAAAGTGACCTACAAGACCAAGCGGCCTGTGTTTGACCTGCGGACCATCGCTGAGGTGGAGGGAGCTGGAGTGAAAGCAGGAAAGCATGCGGAGTGGAGGGAGCAGATCATCGTCCCTCCTCTGCCGCAGTCAGCGCTGGCCGGCTGCAGCCTCATAGACATCGACTATTTCATTCGGGTCAGTGTGTTGACGTGTAGAGATGATATTATTGGAAAGACTTATCCTCTGAGATTCCACAGATCATTATCTTCTGAAGCAGTGCAGCATATTTCAAGTGGTAAATAGTCAAATAAAGCCAAATAAAGTAATATACCTTGACAGAACTCTCCTTGTGTCTAATTCCATATCTGCTTCCAATATCAGTAGAGTTTAATGAATGAGAAGAACATCAACACCACTTTATCTCTTAATGTTCAAATGTTAATGGTCTTTAATCACAAATCCCGTTTGTGTTACAGGTGTCCCTGAAGTCCCCGGACGCGGTCGTCACGCTGCCCATCTTCATCGGGAACATCGCGGTCAACTTGTCTCCGTCGAGGCCCGCGCTGCCCCGTCCAGACCTCTGCGGCGCCCCCGGTGCGGCGGGCGTGACGCCGAGTGCTCCGCCCGCGGAGGAGGAGCTGTGTGCAGGCGTCGTGGCCAGTGAGGAGATTCCCACCAAGAGTCACTCGCAGCAGGATCCCTCGGGTCAGCCGGTCACCACGTTCCCCGGCGCCTTCAGCCCGGCGCCGGGTGGAGCCCCGCCTCCCGGCTACAGGCGGCCCGACGCGTCCGCCCCCCTGTTCTGTGTGTCCACCGGGTCCACCATACCCTTCTTCACCGAGGGAGACGTGACTCCTGTCCCCACTTCCTGCTCTCTCATCCTCCCTCCAGAGTACAGCAGCTGCGACTACCCTCATGGTTAGTGAGACATCGGCACACGGACAAACACGTGCGTGCAGGAGCACACAAGATTGCACTTTGGTATAATGGACAGTTCAATATGGATGTCACCCGTAGTTTTAGGGGAATGCTGACAAACCTGCAAATAATCAAACAAATGTCTGTGATGGGTTTTAAAAAGAAAACAGAGCCATTGTTTATGTTATTACGAACGCCGTTGCTTTTACCGCCTTGACAACTCAAAAGTTTTGCTGTCGAAAAAGGTATGAAGTACCCAAAATGCACTGTTTAGTACAGTTGTATTTTTGTTTGATTATAGAACAAAACGTGGTCAGAAAAATGAACATGTTTGTGCTTTTCTGACAAAAGGTTAAATGCCAAAATCCATGAAACCCACGGTGATTGGAGGACTTCAGCCATGTTCCTAACTTTCATTCTTTACTTTGTGTGTTACAGAGCCCCCGCCCACTTACGAGGAAAGCTGCAGTAGCGCCAACCCCAGTTTCAATGGTACAGAGTAGAGAGGAAGCATCGTGGCCCCGACCAACCCCACCTTTCTGCATTCGACACTCTCTGCAGATCAATACCGAGACAAGGACAGAGGATGGACGATAACTCCACGAACACCCCAAAGATTGTGTCTCTCTTCTTCAATCAGTAAAAAGAGAAAAGGAAAAGCGATCTTAACTTATATTGAATATAAGTCCACTTTGTTCTGTCCCATCAGATAGACACGACAGGCGAACGTGACTGTGCCTAACAGAAGTGTTTGGGATCGTCACATAGCATTTTGAACATTCAGTGATTTGTTATGATCCTTTCAAGGGCCGTGGTTAGATCGTTTTAGTTCATCCAAGGAATTTTTGTATCTGTGATGCCTTAAAAGGGATTTTTGAAGAGATCCATCGCTGGCTTTTTGTTGAAGTCTTGCTCCAGTTGTGCACTTGTTATTGTGGTCCCCCGCTGTCTGTCTGTGTCTCAGCTGTCCTCAACAGCAACACGGCAGAAATGTCTTCATGCTGGATGTCCAAACATAGAACGATAGAACATCTTAATAATACCGGATCCTATACATGTTGGCTTTAAAAATGTATGGGTCTTGGCAACACCATTCAGTCTTTTCTTTATTTAAAACAGAGGTAGACGTAAAAACAGCAATCAAAATAACTTGCTGGAGCTGCTTGCATTGTTTATCTATCATCATGAACAACTGGAAAATTTACAGTTATTGTTACATACAAAAAAATAGTGCTTCTAAGCAAGATAGAATATTGTATATTATTATTATTATTGTTGAACAACCAGCGTGACACTCCATAAAACTGAGAGGTTTTGCTTGGACACCAGTTTTGAATTGAGAGGAGAGCTTTTCTGCAGATGAGGTTCCTTCCTCCTGCAGCTGGATGCGGTGACTGCAGTGATGACTCAGTCGTGTTCTGCCCTCTTGTGGTCGTGGCCGGTATGAACTCATATCGAGCTCCTTGCTAAGTGAAAGGCTTCACCAGTCTCTGTTTCCGCAATGCACCGAGTGAGGTGAGATGTTTGAATTGTTGATTGAGCCGAAAGGACAAAATGCGGTCTTAAGACGTGATGCGGCGGTTTGGCGGCGATGTTTCAGTATGAATGTTAATTCCTGTCTGTTGCCTTAACGTCCTTCCTATATATTCAGAAGAGAAAAGCATCAGCGTGACGATATTTGAGCTCCTGACTGCAGACCACGTTGCCAAGTGTTTTCCGGAGTTTGTTTTATGTTGTGGAAGACATCAGCTCCAAGCACAGACAAACCGCTTTAACTGTCAGCCAGACGTCGGCGTCTTGGCTCTACATCTTTGGGAGTGCATGCCTTAAACTTGAAATCCTTGATTCTCACCACATATACGGGAGCTTGTGATGGACTTCTCCTCTGTCGCGGCGTTGGGGTGTGCAGCTGTTTCCGGTTTTATTTCCTGTGAACTGTGCTTAGTGCACCTGATGTATACTAAAACTGTGAGGACACTGGACCGTAGGGCTGTTTTTATTCTTGTGTTAGAAAATATGTGCAATTCCTTTCATCTCCAAGGCCTCTGCAGCACCAACTCCCTGAAGGCATGTCACGCTGCCCTCATCGATCCTGGTTCTGTTTAATTATCCTCCATCAAAAGGTACTACAGCTTTATGAAACTCCAATTGTTCTGTGTGTCTTTTGTTTTTCCATCCTTCCCCCCTCACATATTGATGAGTGGTCTGGTTTTGTAATTTTTCTACTTATTAAACTGTTTACAGGTGCGTATGCAGATAATTAAAGTCGCACCTCAATCAGGAAATGTAATATTTCAGCATACAGTGAAGAATCAGGTGTACTGTACAGTATGAAAATAAAGACATAAGACGTGTTTTTGTTTATGTCAACAGTCTGCTTTTTTTGTTCTGACACGGAAACATGCTTCCAAAACTGATTTTTCTTTCAACAAGGCAGTTAATGCGTCACACACAGTAAGAACTGAAAACATGGACAAAATGTGAAAAAATGTGTTTACAAACGCAGGAATCCTGGTGAGTTTTATGTTGATATAAGCTGCAGAGACGTATTTTACAGCTTTGACTCTTTGTCAAACATTTTAAGTAAACAGTTAAGAAATAAACAATACTGTATGTGGAAGTAACGTTTCGGCCTTTTACGTGCAGGTTTTAAAACAAGCAGCCGAAAAGCTACGACGGTCCTTCGGCTAACTCCGTCCATCACGTGATCCAAGTGACGGAAGATTCGGTCTGCGCATGCGTCGCATTTCCAGCCTCCACCACCGACTACATTTGTAAACACGTTTTATAATGCTTGTGTGCGGTCAGTTGCAACCAGCGCGCTCGCTCTTCACTTCACTATTTGAGCTTTCTTAGCGAATGAAACGCGCCTTTTCGACGGTCGGGTCCTGCTGGGCCTCCTTTCTTCCCTCCTTTCGGCTGCTCATGAACTCCAATACCCGTCAGCCCGCCGCTGGCTGCGTGAGGTCAGCAGGCGGCTTCGTTCCGCGAGTCCCCCAGCTGCTGCCTCGGGACATTTGAAGACTCTCTCTGCCGATGAGAAGCGTGTGGTGAATAATAACCAGCTAACTGCAGCGTCGCCATGATGTCCGTAAGTCATCTCTTTTGTAGTTTGGTCACGTTCTGCGTTTGACATGTTGCCACCATGAGATAAAAAGAGGCCGGTGTCGTCCGCTGTGTGAGGACATGTGATATGGACTTTAAGGGGGAAGCCCATAATAGACCTGGAGGATCTAAAGAACATGTTTCAGGTTATTGGAGAGTTGGTGTCGTTAACGTTTAATAAAAGTTAAGTTACTTGTCAGTGATTTATTTTCTAAACAATCATCTACACACACAACCTTAAGACATTATCTTCTTCCTCACCACTATTTGATTTGACCTATTCAGCAAACACCAACTATTGTGAAAATATAACATGATCAATTCACTCTGATGATCAATTTACCTACCACCCATCACCTCCGCCCAAACTGATTTATGTTGAAAAGGATTTAAATCTACTTGTCTACAAAAGCTTTGACGCGAGTAACAACCACCAGAAGGGAAGAAGCCGCTCTAGTTGGTCCTTTGGAAGAATGTAAAGTGCATGTGTGTTGCAAGACAATTGGCACAATTAACAGGTCAAATAGGTTCATCAGAAAGTGCAGTGGGAGTGATTGGCAGCAGACGCATTGTCCTGAATCTCAGCATTCACCTGGTTGGGTGAAGTGAACAAATAGGCTGTGTGCTCTGGGAGATAAGCTCACAATGATCAGTTGACCTCGAGTCGGCTTGGTGACTCACGTTGGCCATATTTGATTTTCTTTGTGTTGTTTCTCGCTGCCTCACGCCGCTTCTGTCCTCTCCATAACAGTACATTGGTTCGGCCTCTAAACTATAAGCTTTTGTTTTTAATCCTGCAAGTGCACGAGTCTCCATTTCATTCATTGAACAAGCTTCTGCAGGACCGACATGATGACGTCAATAAAAAAGAGTCGTATAGTTGAGTGGGTTATAACCCAAACGGAGTGTTGAAAACATCCACCAGTTGACCGACTCTGCTCTGACGTGACCCGCTTCTCAGATCGCATCTCTCAATTTAGTTTTGTGCAAATGCAATGGTGGAAGATGTCCCTGTCAGTTTCGAGGGATTCAGTGAAAACGCCCATCGCATGTTCTCCGAGTCCATGGGGACAAATCAAAATGTCCTTCGTTTTGTTAAACAAAAATCCCCAAACACCTTCTGCTGTATCAAGTGCTCACACGGCAGAGCTCATATTTGTTTAATATACTCGGTAGCAGCAGGACTCGTTAACAGACGCACACATTCCTCCTGTCCGGGACGCGTCCGATGGAGCGGTGCAGGACACAGGACGCTTTTGTTGGACAATACTTTCAGTAATTGTTGTGAAAGACCAGCTGAATAGATATTTGTTCGGAGCGGTTTAAATTTCATTTGCTCCTTATTAGATAATGGGATCTCAGAAACTATAAATACAACAGAGGGGGCTGTTATAATAGGGTGTGGATTCTGTCGGCGCATTGTTTGAATTCCCTGCTAGACAAGGGATGAAACAGGAGGAGAACGCAGCGTTTCTAAGGCTTGTTTAGTTTCCTCCAATCAGGTGAAATAATCACCATAGAAACGTATTTTAATCTTAAACAGATATAGAAATGCTATAGAAATTATATTATTTTTATTTAGTTTGAGAGAAGAAAGCTAGCTTTTGTACTCTTACACTCCTGATCTCGGTGGGAAAGAGGCCGAGGTAAACCCTGTTGGAACACCTGCTCCCTGCATTGATAATGTTTCTCAGTCCGCTGCTTTGAAAGTAAATCATCACCTACACGGAGATCAGCAGCTAACCAGTAAAGCACACGCGGCTTAACATTGTTCGTCTCGTGTCTTCCTTTCAGATGACCTTTGGGGTGTCGAGCAGCGTGACGCTGCTGTTCGACTTCTGGAGCGTGCACGGGCCGGCAGGTAAGACCCAGGTGTCAAGCGGCTTCTCCCCCCCCGAGGGGAAATATCTCTCCAGAGTCGTGTTTAACCAGTTAATCTGTTTAAAAGCAACCGCTGCGTTCCTTCAGCACACCTCTGGAGAAGCGTGTATGTTGTCTGTACAAACACTTGTTTTTATCTACTTATTCTGAAATCATTGGATGATGATGCATCCATAAAACATTTAAAGAAGTATAATCTGATTCATTAGAGCAGTCTTTTCCAACCAGTGTGCCGCAAGAGGCTGTCAGGTGTGCCGTGAAAAAAAAAATATATTTTTTTTACATACTGTCACTTCATTGGTGAAAAAAAAAAAGAGCCAACTTGTGTTTGTGTGTGTCGTCGCGCTGTTGGTGGTATGAAGGCTCAATACTCCCCTCTGCCTGTGGGTGGCGCTACGCAGCGTAATTAATAGGCAGATTTGCTGAGGGGACAATTTAAAAAAAGTGAGATTTAAAGGCCGGCGCATGCTTCTGCGTCTGCGTCGTTGCGTCAACGCACTCGTTTCAATTCATGGTTCTGCGCGTGTTGTGGAGCAATTCAGCTCCACAACACGCGGAGTGACGTGTTTTTGTTGAAGACGACCTAGAGAGTCACGTCTATTTATTTATTTGTTTATTTATTTATCATAGACTTTATTGCCCCGTGCATCGCCACTGCTGCTTTTCATCGCGGACACATTTGTCCCGTATTTTCCTCCACAACTTTGTGCGCCTCTCGACCGGTGTTATGTGCCTACTGGTTTGCCTACGCGTGCGTGTTTGTTTCCCCCTACAGCGGCAGATGTTGTCTGCCTCAGTCACCTGATTCGTCACACATTCGCAATCATATTGCTGAAAATGTTCAAAAGTCATCACATATCCATTGCAGCGATTACGATTGTATAAGTGAGCACTACGTCACTGCCACGTATGAAGAAATACATTGAAGAAAATAGATCTATTAAAAGATCGCTGCAACCTGGATTCGATCCCCCGCGAGCAAAATGACAATGCGTTACAAGACGGACGCGCTACGCCGTCGACCACTCTAGCTTACCAATGTCACCGCTGTTTCCTGTACTTATCAAATTGTACATCGTCGGTGGCTAGAAAACCTTTTGGTTCAGAGGGAACCAAGACAACTGGTTTTGGTGGCATATCGTTGAACACTCCCAAACATGGGTATCGTTACTTTTTCACGAGGCTGCAGCCTTCCACCACCGAAACATTTGGACAAAAGGACATATTCTGTTCAGACGGTCGTGCAGTGACGTGAATCACAGCCACGTCCAGAAAGTCATTGAAGAAAATATATTTATTAAAAGATCGCCGAAACCTGGATTCGAACCCCCGCGAGCAAAATGACAATAAGTTGTCGGACGGCTGCGCCGTGGGCCTCGAAGCTTGTGAATGTCTTCGATGTTTTTCGTATTTGTCATTCCATTTTACAGAGTCCATGGATGGAAAACATTTTGGTTCAGGTTGAACCAAGACAACTAGTTTGTAGTGGGCGTATCGTGGAGCGCCTACATGTGTATCGATACTTTTTCGCGACGCTGCAGCCTTGCACTAACGAAACAATAATTTACTTTTGCGACGATTATACCGTAAAAATACTAATTGCTAACACTAAGCCACAGGAATAGAACATCAGCAATATTCTATCCACAAAATGAAGAAATGGACGCAATGATTTACAGCCATTGTAAACACTGCATGAAGACATTTCCTGTAGAAACATTCAGTCCTTAATCGTCTTATAAGTAATTGCATGATAGCTCACGATTTGCAAACAAGTAAAACATTAGCTTCACAATCAGGAACCCAGGAAAAACTCTGGAGGAATTGTAATTCAATTACATTTATTTTGTCCGGCCCCAAATCAAATATTAGCAAGAGAGCTTTACAATCTGTACATATACACGACATCCTCTGTCCCAGGACCCGAACATCGAAACAGGAAAAACTCCCCCATAACCCTTTTAACAGGGAGAAAAGAGGAAGAAACCTGTGGGCGAGCGAACGAGGAGGGATCCCTCTCCCAAGATGGACAGAAGTGCAATAGATGTCTTGTGTACAGAATAATTACAAGAGCTACAAAACATTCAATTGAAATGGCAGAACCAGCGAAGAACCCAAGACCAGGGTCCAGATAGAACCACGAGAACCTGTGAAGAGAAAAAGCACAAAGACTCTTGTGAAGTAGGATGGTTGGCATGCAATAGGTGGCGAGCAGACAGTGGCATTAAAATTATTTTAATGTCAAATGAATTTTACAATATGACTCATCTTCCTGTTTGTAATGCAATGTTAGACTTGTATTTATATAGATTGGTGTAGTTCATTTTCCCCACTACACAGGTCAGCAGCAGTGCAGAGACAAACCTAGCATAGAGTTAGAGAGCTTCAGCCACATACTTCCTCCATTACAGGTAACGTGCAGGACAGCAGAAGTCCTGCTCCAATGGCGGCTTTCCAATGCAGATCAGTGGAACCGCAGCCCGCATGTTGTACACTGGATCTGAGAAGCATTGCCATAGATTAGTATATTCTAGTTGTAAGATTACAGAACGGTTAGTTTAATCTTACCCAGTCATCATGCCCATCTTTATTTCTCTCTAGACTTTGCTGTGCATTCCCACATGCTCTACATAGTTCCGTCAGGTTTTCTAGCACATTACACAAGTATGATTACTTTCTCAATAACCTGTAAATTCATATGATCAAACAGAAAAAGCGACCAACCTGAGTCAGTGACCAGTCTGCATGCTACTTCTCAGAGTGATGGAAGCCTCGTCTGTAGAGAAATCTATCAAGCCACCGCTGAGAATAAGCTCTGCAAACTACAGAAGAGACATATGTACACACACACACACAATATATAATATATATGAATTCAACAAAGGTCCGTTGCACTCTTACCTTGCAGACAAGTGCCACACAGGATGTTGAGTCCTGTTGTTTTGGATGGCTTACTTTATCACAAGTCCACCGAGAAATATGGACATTTCGAAGTCTCATGAAAGCTCTGTTAAGTACAAAATATATATATATATATATATATTCGTTTTGTAAAAAAAAAAAGTGACATTTTAACTGCTGATTTGTAGCTTGCCTTGTCACATCCTTGCATTTATTTAGGTGTTCTGGAGTTTCACCTAAAGGATCAAGGTAAAGCACCCGCTTCTCCTTTGGATACATTACCTTCACAATACATTTAAATGAAAGTAAAGAGGATTCTTTATCACATTCAGTTATCTAGATTAGCACACAATACTCAGAACACTGCTACACATGATTTTATAAAATGTATATGTATTCTTACCGCAAGTGTCCAGTGCTGTTTGTCGCACACTGGTCCTATGAGGATGTCGAAGGCCACAGGGTCAAGCTGAAAACATGCATAATGAATGACAATGCGGCTTGAATCCATAATCATGTCTAAACAGATTTCAAAAAGGTTTTACCTTTTTCAATCCTCTGAATGATCCTTGCCACATTGTGGTCATTTGGAACGAGTCAATGAGAAACAATTCTTTGGTTTTTTCTTTTCTTTTGCTTTCTGTTTCTTTTTGTTGCTGCATTACAATCGTACGCATGGATGCATTTAAAACCTTAAATGACAGTTGTGGGTTGTTACTTTTTATGCCATAACAAATGAAAGACATCATGCATTTACTGTACCTCACTCTCCAGCTGCCTCCCAGTGGCCAAATTTTGAAGGTCCGTGGCAAAAATCTTGTATGGCCCCACTTTGCTCCACAGCACACCTTGACGTTGCCCCGCCCATATGTCAGCGATCACTGAGGTTAGAAAAGAGTTGTTTACAGAGGCCTCATTTGGGGTTTGAACCTATCAAGTTCCAAAACATCACCAAACTGTCCTTCTATTGAAACTGTATTGAGGTCTATCCTTGCATTCCTTCTGGGGAGGCAGGTGCAGCCATGATGAGAGACTGGATGTTAAGGAGTCTGATTTTGGGGCTACAGACGGGGATTGGGGAACCCCCAAACACCGTACGGGGCTGGGCTGCAGTGCTGGAGGAGAAGTGGATGTGGCAGCAATCCATTTTGCAGGGATCCGCACTTCTGGTTCCACGTACCGCTTTAGATGGTCAATGTTCACTTTGCAAACATTTTTCCCCTTGTAGGGTCGTCAAGTCAGCACTTGTTCCATTTATATGGATTACCATGTATGGACCTAACAAGTCGGTTTCCAGTTTACCCCCTTTTCTTTGCTCTTCCCAAATATTCTTTCGCAAAACTTTGTCCCCCACTGCGAAGCTGTCATCATCCCCCTTTGCAAGTTTTCTCTTTCGCACCTTTTCCTGCGTCTCAGCAATGTTCGCCTCCACTTTATTGTAGACCTCTTTGAGGTCGTTCGTGTGGGTGCAGACGTCCTCATTGGTCATATAGATGTGGACCCGTTCCTCAGATATCTGTAACATCGGTGAAGAATAAAATAAAAGTACACATTACAGCGGAGATATACATACATTACCAGCTTGTAGTGTAGTGCTAAAAGGCCGTCATACCTGCCACTTATCTGGTATTTCGGATGGGTAACGGGCCTCCCTTCCATACAATAAAAAAAATAAGGAGAGTATTTGGTTGTCAACTGTTTTTTTAGTACGGAGTCCAAATACAGTTGGCTGTATGTATTTGTCCCAGTCACTTGGGTGGTCCTGCACCATTTTCTTCAAAGCTCTGAAATAACGAAAAGAAAATCAGTCATTCACCATTTATGGTTGATCAAGTCATATTTTATATTTATTTATATATTTTATATCTTTACCCTTGAATTGTGCCATTTAGCTTTTCCACCAAGCCATTGGTTTGAGGGTGGTAGGGAGCACAGAGGCTTCTGGCAATTCCGAGAGTTTCACACAACCCTGTGTTTATCTAGAATATGCATAAAGAGGGGAACAATTTCATTACCATGGTGCTTTTTCCATTGTTGCTGTGACAAAAACAAAATGTTAGGATTCAGAACTTAACTTACTTTGTTGACAAATTCTTTGCCACGGTCGGTCAAGATGCGTTTTGGGGCACCATACTTAAAAGAAGTCCATTATGCAGCGTGTGACTTCTATCCACTTGGTAAAGTAGTCCACCATGACACAAATGTACATGTAACCATTGTTGGTGCATTTTAGCTTGCCAACTAGGTCCATTCCCACAAGCCCAAAGGGCTCGGTCACCTTTTGAATGCAAACCAACACTTAATACCAACAATACTCTACTACATACAACATGTTCAATGTAATGTTTATTCACCTCGATGGGTTTGTACTGAATTTTCTCTTTTATAGAGGTCCTCTTTTTTTTGGCAAGCGTCACATTGGCCAATCTAACAAAGTGAAACAATGAAACTCTGAATATATAAATATTACAAAAAACACCCACAAAGTATGGAGCTAGAAATACTTACCCGTTTTTGGATGTCAGCCAGTAATACCTTTTGAAGGGTTGCATCCAAGGTTTTCTCAATACCACAATGAGCCCCAATATCGCTGGCATGAAACTCGACAAAGATGTTGTTCGCTTCTTGTGGAGGAAGTACAACTTTGGCAACATGATGACGCTGCTCATCCTTTTTTCTGCGGCACTGGTAATAAAGTTCCCCATCTAAGGATGTATATTGCATAAACATTTTAAATACATTTAAAAAGTCGTTAGGAAACCATAGGGTGGTGTGGATTGTCTTACTTATCACTTGGTAACTCTCTGCCCGTCTTTTTAGAACGTATCGCTGATTCTGGTTGAACTCAGTCGGATAGTTGTTGTTGATTTGTTGACTTTGCGAGGGTCCATCAGTGCTTTCTAATTTTCTGTCCTTTCTTTAGCTTTTCGAAATATGCTGTATTTCTACTGAGCAGAGGTCGCACAAACTTTGCAATTCTCCCTTTACACTGATGTCGCTAATTAACGTGATTGCTTAATCCCCGGTGCATGTTCGGATTTCACGTCCTCAAAGCAATTTTTTAACGGTGTGGCTGTAACGTGTAAATAACTATCAAGCATCGCAAACACGTATCGATACACGTGTTTCGATACAAGTGTAAATCTGTTTTCTTCAATGTATTTCTTCATACGTGGCAGTGACGTCGTGCTCACTTATACAATCGTAATCGCTGCAATGGATATGTGATGACTTTTGAACATTTTCATCAATATGTTTGCGAATGTGTGACGAATCAGGTGACCGAGGCAACATCTGCCGCTGTAGGGGAAAACAAACACGCACGCGTAGACAAACCAGTAGGTTCAAAAACCAGTAGGCGCGTAACACCGGCAAACCGGCGTGTGCGGCGATCTCCCTCCGTGAATCCAACCCGCCAATGACGGCTTGTATAAGCGGTCCTATTTACGCATTTCTTCCGACAAAAGTTCTTAAATCTGATCCGTTCTCTCGTAAACATTCTTTGTTTTAATAATGGCCGTATTGTGCTATGAAAGCGGAAATGTGAGACTCCGTAAAGGACGCAGTTAGCGGACCAATCGCAGCCTGGTGCGCTGCGGGAGGCTCGCGTTGAAAATGTCTCGACACACGCAAGGGAGTCTTGCGTCTGCGTCGCTCTGAAAACGCAGAAGCATAAACTAGGCTTAAGAGACACCTGGGCATAAAGCCTGTGCCATCTTGGCATTAGGATGCTGTTAAGTTTAATAAAACACAACAAATAGAACACGCGTTTCCCTGATTTCTTAAAGTATATTCTGCTCATGCTGAAACTATTTTTGGGATTGATTTTCATATCATTTCCGGTGGTTGGTGTGCCGTGAGATTTTTTCTGTGTATTAAGTGTTCCTTGACGCAAAAAAGGTTGAAAAACACTGCATTAGAGTGATGAGGCACTTAAAATGAGCCCATACATCTTCCCAACACTTGTGCATTTAACTTGCCTGCGATACTTTGTCGGGTTGTAGCCTGGCGGGGGGGCGCTGTCAGTTTTTTTTCCATGATTATTTGATTCAATTGATTTTATTTTCGAAAGCACAACATCTCGGGGCTTTAAAGTCTGTACACATGTGATGGATGTCACGAATGCGAATTCGTGACATCCATCGAATACAGAATGAACAACGTAAATGCAACACGTTCAATTCATACGGCAGAAACGATTCAAATACACATATTATCTCCTCATATGTGTTCATGAGAAATAAGCCGCTCCTACTTTGAGTTTATTTACCGTGGTACTGGTTTCGGTGATCGACGTCTTCTAGCGTAGGACGGGAACTCAACGTTATCCTGATGACATCAGGTTCAAATTACCGAGGCGGTTTGAGTTCAGAGCCGCCTTTGAGGAACCGAGATATTCTGACATCAATCATCTCGTTAACTTGAGCTTAATAATGGGAGTTGAACCACGTGCGAGGAACCGGGCCCTGATGTCCCAGTCAAATATGAACCACAGCGTTCAGCGACTTCAACCCACTGCTGCAGGATGATTTGTTTAATGGTTTTTTTAATGTGTTCAGGATTCAAACCGGTCTAATGATGGGATTTTGAAACAGCCAATACCAGAACAAAAGAAAATAAAAACACCTCGCCTTTTTTATTACAGGCGTCTCTTGAATTTAGTTACGGAGGTTTGGCTCTTTCGTTCTAGTTTCCTGCACAGATGAGTGCAGATTCCTCCTGTTTTTTTTATAACTTTATACTATTTTTGAACGTAGGTGAGTTTCTGATATATGTAACGATGAATATATGTGAATAAATACCTTATATGTCAGAAGTTGATACTGTTATATACTTTTATATTTTTTCATTATTATTTTGTTTTTGTTTTTTTAAGATGAACCACACCTACATGGAGCTTGTTTGCTCGATAGCATGAATAATGTATAAATAAAGGTGCGGCACTGCTTCCCGCTTTTCAAATAGTTTCCCTTGACAAGAGTCAACATTATACATATTTATTTCAAAGTGCTAACACGTGCATGAATGTTGTAATTCTACCGTGTGAAGTATAAATTGTGTGCGCGCGTGTGTGTGTGTGTGTGTGTCTGCAGGCATGGTGCTGTCGGTGTTTGTGGTCTTCCTCTTCACGATCTTCTACGAGATCCTCAAAGTGTTTAAGTTGTGGCTGGGGAGCAGATCTAAGTGGACTCAGCCTCAGGATCCGTACGCGGCCCATCAGACCTTCAACAGCGCCTCTGCACTGGAGAGCAGCCCCTCCGAGTCCTCGCTGACCCCCATGGAGCCCCGCCCCCCCGCTCCAGACAGGAGAAAGCGGTCAGTTCCAAGTAGATATTCAAGAACTACAATGTGATTTTTACTGCAATATGTAAATACTAGGAAATAATATAAACATTTCATCCTCATCTTGCTAAGTGAATCCAAGTATAATATTTTTCTTCTAAAGTTGTGACTTGGTTCGTCACATTGACCAAATTTCTAAAATTTGGACTATCGTGCATTTCTTATTTTCAAATGACTCCTTAAATAATGTTTTTTAGTTTCTTTAACTGAGGAAATGTGCCTCTGTAGAAGGCCAAACTGAAATCAGGTCAAATGTGAAAGCGCTGTTTGTTAAATCAAACATGAACCCAAAGCATCTTGGCACCCTGAATTCTTCTAACACACTGAATGGAGTATTTGAGGTAGTGTTCCTCTGTTATAGATCTACTTATGTCATCCTCTCTCCTCTGCAGCTGGCTGATCCATGCTGTCCAGGCAGTGCTCCACATGATGCAGGTGTCTCTGGGCTACATGCTGATGCTGTGCGTCATGTCCTACAACACCTGGATCTTCCTGGGGGTCATCGTGGGCTCTGGCCTCGGTTATTTGATCTCCTTCCCTCTGCTGCGTATCATCTGATGCTACGGACAGTTCAGAGGTCGTCTATTTTCTGTCTCCTATCTCGCTTTTGTTTGGGACTCTGCTTGTCGAAGGGTCTCCTTATGACAACAACCACTTGCTCTGTGATTTATAGTAAATGACGGCCGCCGCTCTGTCCTGCACCCACACGGCGATTACAGCAGACAGACACGGCCAGCTGTCCGCTCCGCGGCTGTCGTTTGCACCTACCGCCCAGCCTTGATAGCCATGTTTTTGGAGGTAGGTCTAAAGGGACGTGATGGTCTGCTGTTCAGGCAGAGCCTTTATTTTCTCAATCAGGAACCATCGAGGAAGGCGATTCATATGAAATTTGCATTTTACTCCACAGGCTGGTGCTGCTTTTGGCCCAACTCTTTTGTTTATCCTAAAATGCATTTGAATAGTTTACAGCAGAGGTTCAACCCATGATTGACGGCTGTCATGAAGTTTGTGGCATAATACTACAGTGCTTTACTAACTTACTAACAATTAAAGGCGTGTGACACTAAGGGTGATTAAATAACATTTTAGAAAGAATTGAATTCATGGTCTGCGTTTTGCAGTGCGTGTGTGTGAGGGCAGAGATTTACAGTCAGGCGTAAGACAGGACTCAGAGGAAGGAAATGAATCATACGTTAACTCAACCACGTGGTTCTGTGACAATAATTGACGAAACCACAAAAAAAAAAGGAGTCACGAGGCTCGCCTCTCTGGGGTTTCTGTTCCGGCAGGGTCGCCTTGTCTTGTGAGACACAGCATTTAGATGTTGAGCTTCTTCCTTCAAACATGTTTTGCAATAAATCAGAATGTGCCTTGGACGTCAAGAGGCAGTTTCACAACAGCACACTGACTTCAGAAAATGGAGAGGAGGACGAATAGCAACACACATCAGATTGCAGCTTGTGCAAGTGACAGTAAAAGATGGAGTAACACTTGTACAGCTTCAAAATTGATCTTCATTTTCTGGCAGGAAACTGTTGTGTAACTGCAAATTTATAAAATGGCTCCTGGAAAGGACGGTGTAATTTGAATTTGACTTTTTATTCTAATAAAAATGAAAATGTTAAATGACATGTTTGTACTTTATTTACATATTAATTCCACTTGTGGTCTTAATAAACCACACTGTCGTTATTTCCTATCCATCTGCCCTAAAACGTTTTTTTTACTGGAGATATAAATATAATATTCAAAAGCAACCTCCATGTTTATTATAAAAGGAGCATTTTGTATTTCAAATCCTGTTGTTTCTTTTTAAACCTTGAGTCTTTAATTGCATAGTAGGTCATTCGATAGATGTGCAATAATGTCCAACAAATAAGCAAGCGAAAGCGCTTAATACTATCTTTACAGTAACCCAAAAATATTTCCCTAACATTTCCTCCACAAGGTAAGTGATCAGTGACCTTTTATTTTACAACAAAAATGAGGATATAAAAACTCTTGTAAAAGCAACTCAATCTAAAGATCAATATTTTAAAATTCACCTAGATATAAAATTTGAGTTAAATGATGTGTAGATAAAATTGTCCCTGGTTTTTGATTTAATTTACTTGAAGTTGAAAAACACAGAAATTTGGGAATGATGACTATAAATGTCTATTATCACAAAGAGCGCTCCGTCTGATTACAAGTTATATCTAAATCCTACAAGTTACTGTATGTTGGCAATGTACATCCACCAGCAAAGAAGTGATACATTTTGGTTGTTTGGAGGTCTAAAAGATTTTTTAAAAATCCAATCGAGTGCAAATCATTCCGTACAGATTGTACTAAATGTCTGGTGTTGAAACATAAAAGGCCATTTGCGAATACAGGAATAACTTTGAAAAGAAAACTAGATTTAAAAAAAGTAGTTGTGGCAGATTGTGGCACCGCCTGCTGTCCAGGTAGAGGCTGTGATTATTCATGTGATGCATCAAGAAGAAAACAAATGGGGCTGACATAAAACTTGAAAACGTTAATAACTTAGATGACGTTGTTGGTTAAAAATTTAAAAAAGTGGATTCCCACATAGAAAAACCCCTGATCCCTGTGACGGACTATTAATCCGTTAAACTAGCAAAGAGGAGCAGATATGAAAGCGGTGTCAAACAAAAAATATGACTACACTTTGCCACAAAATTCACCAAGCTGCATAGAAAGGAACCGATGGGCGAGGTGCAACGGGAGGCTGAGAGTGTGCGACGTGCACAACGCCATCCACCACCTCTCCGACGGCGTGCGCCGCACACGTTTCATCTCCTGGTACAGAGTTATGTTTCTCCCTCACGCCAGAAGCACTTCCACTTCCACCGGGTCGAGCACTTTGTCCTCTCCGTTCAGACCGTTTGTGATCGGCTGCGGCGCGTCCTCATCCGGCCCCCCATTGGCTGGCGACTGGGAGCCGCTGTCGCTCTGGGAGCCGGAGACTGAAGCCGGCTGCGGAGCTGCCGACGACTCGTTGTCTGATTCTGCTGCAGAGACATCCGTGATCCTTCCGCTGTCGTCGTCCTGCGCCGCCTCTTCTATTTCCTCCACGGCGCCCCTGGCGGCGGCCTCCTCCTGACGCTCCTCGTCGTGTTCCCGCTTCGTGTTTTCGACTAGCTGCTGGACCGCTGCCTGCGTGGACGCCGTCTCCCGCGGAGCCTTCCTGGGGACGTCCTCCACCATGGTGGTCACGTGCGTCACATCCTCCTGCACCCCATCCTCCCAGGTGACGGTGCCGGTGGTCACCGCCGTCCCGTTGGTCAGGTCGGTCGGGCTCTCCGTCGACGCGGGAAGCGCCACCGCCACCACGGGATTAATCAGGTCTCGGATCTCAACCACGCGGTCGGGAGACTTGGCCTCCTCCGGCAGATCCGGGTCCTCCTCTGTGCCCTCAGACACGTCCTCCTCGGGGATGAGCTCCACACCGGGGACCTCCAGGCAGGACTCGAAGGGCAGAGGGACTCCGTCCAGCTGGATCATGGACACCACCTGCCTGCGTCTGCTCCCAGAACCGCCTCCTTCAGATCGGCCGCCGCCAACGCAGCCCTCCGGCTCGTCGGCCCCGAACTTAGCGGCCCAGTCCACCTGAGGGCTTTCTCCGAGCAGGTGCAGGTTGGGGTCGCTGTTGGTCAGAACGATGCTGTCCCTGTAGAGGTTGTGTCTCCTCTGGATGGCTGCCTCCTTCACAGCTGGACAACAAAAGCAAACAAGAAGGTCAATCACTGCGTTCCCGAGTCGGGGAGGTCATTTAGATCCATCCCCACTATTGCCACATCATGTTCTAAATTGTGCGCGTCCCTCACCCATCATTATGTCCTTGGAGACACACTGCAGCACCACCTCCTCAAACAGGTTTCCCACCAGCAGGAAACGGGAAAAGTCCTCAAAGATCATCTCTTTGAAGCGAGGCAGCTCCTGGAGAAGAAGATGCCCACGATTAGCTTCAAGCGCTCAATAATTTGCCCAAATATCAGTTGACAACTGATTGCATTTAGCAGTTTCTGATCCTGTCTTACTTCTATATTAATGTGCACGTGACACATTGTTCTTTTATCAGTCGATTGACAGTTAGAAGAAGTCAAAGGCCGAGTGCTTCCTTTTTTGGGGAACCGAAATTCAGAGCACAGTGGGATCAGGAGGTGGGAAGAGTCACGATAATAAATCGTATTATTTAAAAAGATTAAAAGTAAAGAAAGGCTGATTTGTCGGATACTCACCGGTGAGTAGGATGGAGAGAGCTGCTGCAGCATGTAGGGGATGATGATCTGCAGCAGAGCCTCTCTGAAGAACTTCTTGCGCACCGTGCTGCTGTCATAATCATATTTCTGACGGGGAAAAGACCACAAACACTCTCAGAGCCCAGTGACTCAGTGACAGAACAGCCGTTCATCGTCTTCACACTCACCACAGTCCCTGCTGGGCTGGCTGAGGCTTTTGAGAAATATGAGCCATCTAACTACAGTACTACTTCTGTTTTTCATTTTCCTGGTTTACCTTAAGCACCCGGTCCTGGCATCGCTGGATGGTCTTGCACACGTCATCTTCTCCCTTGGTCTCTAAAGACTGGTTGAGCAGCTGCTCGAATGTGTAAACTGCATTGTCCATTTGCTGTAAAAAAACAAAAACTAAGTTGAGGCCGATTGGCAGTGAACCACAGCTCTCCGTTCATCTTCACTGACTGTTGTACTCTTTCTGTCCAGCGGGTGTAAGTAGAGACTTCACCATGTGTCTGGTTTTAGGGAGGAATTAGGGAGCGCTTTCAAGCCTCCCCACGCTGCCTCAGCGCGCTCACAATCGTTGTTCCGTATCAGAGAAAACTGCTGGCGTAGCACCTCACCTCCCCCATGAGGATCTGAGCCCTGCCGACGAACACCGAGGGGTTGGCCACGTCGAACCTCTGCTGCAGCCCGTCCAGGTTGAGCTGCTCCACCTTCTCGTAGCAGCTCTGCATCTTCACCGGGTGGAGGGCGAGCATCGACAGCCTCTCCATGTGCTGAGGTGGCGGCAGAGGGCGAGAGGGGAGGTTAGTGGCGATGGAGATCAGAATTATACGACCAAAAGCGAGAAAGCGGAGACTCCCCAAGTGCAGTGCAGGGTGTGAACGAGGGTCATAGTGACGAACGCGCCTGCTAACTCTGCGGCTTGGTGCAGCTTCAAAGAAACACACCATCTTGGATACAAAGCAACGCGACTCACGTCTCCCAGTATGTCTTTCCCCTCTCCGTTGAGCGAGTTCTTGCTGATCTCCACCAGCTCCCTGAAGAAAACCTCCCTGACCTCGGAGAAACCCCGGCTGGTGGGCTCCATGAGGGCCTCCAGGATGGAGGGGATGTAGGGCTGGACGTTGGTCCGGAGGAGCTGCTCCGCCTTGGGCAACACCAGAGCTGACACACGCACACAGGAGGGGAGAGAAGATTCATGGAGTTAGGAACTCTGAAAATGAGTCATCACAATATACAGCGTATTGTTCATTGTCAAGTTGAAATAGAGGCACGTGTGACATTCAAGGGAAATCCCTTAATCCCCTCAAATGGGTCTACACCCAACTGTTGGAAAGGTAACATGTGAAAAAAAAAAAAGCCAGCCGAGTGGAATTCACGGCTTGGATCACGGCTCTCAAACCGCTGCATTCCACTCGGGCAACGTGAACCAGCACGATTCCGCCGAGCTGACTCATAGTTTTAAGTCGTATTCGCGGGATGAAGTCAAAACGGCCCACATTGTGCAGCTGGTGGAATGCTGTTTGGCCACTTCAGCTCAATGGCAAACACGACACATGAAAGAAAAAAAAAGGGGGGGGGGGTGCGCCGGTGCTGAGAAAACGACAGCGGAAAAGACTTAAGTGCAATTGACGACAACAAGAGCAGGAAAGTGTCAGATACAAAGCCAGGTTTGGTTACAAACTAAAGGCCCCGTCTGGGCCAAATGTTATTCAGTGACCAACGACCCCGGAGGCAACGGTAAACAGTGTAGGAGGACAGTGACTCAGTTAACATTAGATTCAAATATGCAACAAAAAGTGAACCACTCTGTTAGCATTTCTTTTTTGGTCTTTTGTTATTCTGCCGCTCCCTTCTTACGAGCCATCGCTCCGATTGTTTCCCTGGATCTAACTTTGTTTAATGAATTCAATGCCCATATATCAACGTGTAGAAAGGACGTGCGTCAAACGCTCTTGGCATGAAGGTCCTGCCATACACACAACTTTAAAAGCATCTACCCACTTAGCCGAATATCGTTTTGCCAAAACAAATACAGCCGTGCACCTGTGATAACACAATAGTTATGTCTCCGTAAAGAAATGCTCAGTAGAGGACCTTCCCTCTCAGACAACTGCTGCAAAAGGGATGTGAGCATCACGGTCTGTGGTGCGGCCCACATTTACGTGGGCTCTGCCTCGTGCTTACGGCCTGAAGGCAAGGCAATTTTATTTGTATAGCACATCATACACAAAGCTTTTCATACACAAGGCAGACTCACTGCTTTACATTATAACATTTCATACAATAAAGTGAAATAAAATGCAGGAATTAAAAGACAATTAAAATTATAAATTAAAATCTTATTTAAATTGTTTAATTAAAGGTTAAAAGTGCAATGTAGGTCAAATTTAGCAGAAGGCGAAGCTGAACATAAAAGTTTTCAGTCTTGTTTTAAACGTGGTCAGAGTTGGGGCAAGTCTTAAATCTTCAGGAAGTTTATTCCAGCTGTTTGTTGCGTAGTAACTAAATGATGCTTTCCCATGATTTGTATTTACTCTGGGAACCACTAACAGATTGGTGTCAGAAGATCTTAGTGATCTTGAAGGCTTATGTAGTGGAAGCATATCAGTGATATACTAGAATATCTAGCAGCAGCGTTCTGAACAAGCTGGAGCTGCCTGACAGTTTTTTTTTGGAAGACCTGCAAGGAGACCATTGCAATAGTCTAGCCTACTAGTTATAAAAGCATGTACAAGTGTTTCTAAGTCTTGAGCTGACATGAGCCCTCCAAGTCGTGCTACATTTTTGAGGTGGTAGTAGGTCGATTTTGTTACTGATTTGATGTGACTCTCCAAGTGTAAATCTGAATCCATAATAACCCCCAGATTTCTGGCTTTATTTGATGTTTTCAGGGACAGAGAGTGAAGGTGTTGGGTTACTTTAAACCTTTCTTTTTTAGCACCAAATACAATGATCTCAGTTTTGTCTTCATTTAGTTGTAAGAAATTTTGACACATCCAGTCTTTGATTTGCTCGATGCACTGGCACAGAAGATCTATGGGGCGATAGTCGTTTGGTGATAGCGCTACATAGATTTGGGTGTCATCAGCGTAGCAACGGTGGTCAATTTTATTTCTTTGCATGATTTGTCCTAGTGGGAGCATGTAGATGTTGAATAAAGTCGGCCCTAAGATCGAACCTGAACATGAATGAAAAGCAACTTGAAGCACGATTCCTTTTGACTGTAGATCTTCGCTCACCTCGCATCTTGCTGCTGACGTGCTCTTTGGACGCGATGATCTGGTCCATGTCTGTTCGCAGTCTGGCGTCCAGCGGACCTCTCTGGGCCTCGCAGGCATCCATCAGGGCTTCGTAGTGGCCGGTGGTCCGAGACAACACCTGCCTGTACACGCCGTCGGAGATCTAGATGGGAGGGAGAGGTTGAAAGACACGGTTGGACCGGTTTGGGACTCTGCAGTGCTCTGGGCAGCGCGACTGGAACTCACCAGCATCCAATGCTTCTGCCTCTGCTGCAGCTTCCCCTTCAGCCGAGGCCCAATTATGGTTCTCAGCTCCGGGTGGAGGGTCTCCATCACCAGATTAGCAAGAATCTGTGCACACACACAGAATATATTTTTTAGGTATTTACAGAAAAGGTCAGTCCCGCCTTTTTAACTTTTACAATTCTAGTTACTTTGAGCTAACAGGGAATTTTCACACTAGAGGTGTAGTCAAAAAAAACAAAAACAGAAATATCTTCCGCCCAAAAGGAAAACAAAAATAAACCTTAAAAAAAGAGTAGCCTCTTTCGTCAGTGGTTACATGGAAACAGTGGGGCGATTGATACACAGCAGGATACAGAGAGGCAGGAAATCTGGCTTTAGCAGCACTGTCCTCACAACACACACACACACACACACACACACACACACACACACACACACACACACACATAAAGCTTGGTTACCTCAATGACGTAGGCTAAAATAATATTTGGTGAAACGTGTTGCTGCCCAGTAATGAACTGCTGCCAAGCTCGACCAACAATGGATAAATTGTTCTCTGTTTGTCCAAAGACTCGTTTGTCTAGATATGCTAAATCAAATAGTATTGCCAACAACGCAATAGTTGCATTGGTGGCTGCGACTTGTGTTGTGTTCTTCTGATACTTTTTAGTTTGTATCATGAACATCAGATTTGTCTACACCGTATAACTTATTGGGCCACTTCTTATTTGTATCTCTATCACCTGTACATTTTGTTTACAGTTCATTTTTCTTTTAAGAGGTCAAATAAATGAAGAGAGAATTTGAAAATGCTCTGAAAATGCTTGCATCAAGTGTGCATTTCTGTTCCTTTGTTGCTACAGTGAGTTTCCGTAGGCCTCGTTTGTGGATTACGGCGACTCGTTGTATTCTATCATGGCGTAATGTGGTCCTGGAGACACCTGCTGTAGTGGGAACTAGAGGTAGTTTTGTTTGTGTGGACCGATTGTGTCATAAACATCCTACCGGCAGTCACGAAACTTCACAAGTGTGGTTTGAGATTCGAGGATGTCCATCCCAAAACTTAACAGGTGGAGACAAAAATGGAGGCATCACCCATCACTGCAAGGTGATCTCGATTGTTTTTCTTATTGTTCCGTGGGCGCACTTTAAAGCTCTGTTCCCTTTCATATCAGTAATACATTTGAGTATTACGAATGTTATGGGTTTAAATGCCGCGCTGGTTTTTGTTTGCTAAGGATCAGGGTTTGAAATGAGCAAAAGAGTAAATACCACCAATGTAAACACGATTGTTGTCACAGTAGTCACATTTTCACCTAACACGGTATTTTATTTTACTGCCTATTACATTTAAACAGCGGAGCTCCAGTACTAGTACGTGCCTGGAAACAGCCTCGCACAGAGCAAGTGTGAGGCCGTGAGGGGAGAGTGAAAGAGACTCATTCAGAGGGGAGACTCCAATCAACAGTGCATGCGTGTGTGTGAGTGTGTGTGTTCATGTGAACGCTGGTGTGTTGAGGAGTCTTGTTGCTGACAGTCTGTTTGAAGGTCTTGTGTAGGTGCAGTCTTGTACGTCAGTGTCTTTTTTTCATTGTGAAAAAGCCGCCCTGCATATTTCCTTTACCAGTGCATGTTGTCAATCATTGTGGCCTCTCAATAGGTAGAACAATGGTACAACGTCACCTGCAACAGGCACGCTACTGAGACACAGTTGCATCGAGATGCTGACCTGGGGGGGTTTTCCGCACATCATGTCCCAGGTCCCGTAGTGTCCCTTGGCTTGTCTGTGAAGTCTCACGGAGTCAGTGAAGGCTGGCGTCTGAATCGTGCAGTCCTCCGACAGACCTGTTGGGCGCAGAGCAGAGCAGATGCTTGGTAACAACACAGAGACAGACCCCCCCCCCCCTCTGCCCTCTTTTTAAAACAGAGGCCTTTGACTGAGAGGAATGATTTTAATAATAAGATCGGAGGGCGGGGGTTGTTTTTTTTTCTATTGAAGTAATGCTGAGTCATTGAGTCGGTCACATCTGCGTGACGCAGTGTCTAACTTTGGATCAGCAGTGTATTCACGGACACTCGCTGGAGAGCAGGACGTGACACATGCACACTCAGCGCCTACATCACACACACACACACACACACACACACACACAGTTCTGTAATCACTCAAAACGGAAAGATATTGGGTTGTTGGGGGACGGAGGTTAACGTGGTTGCCGTGGTTACCGCCCCTCCCCAGCTGACCGGACAATAGAAGCAGCTCGCCCAGCGCTTGGCAACGCGCACGTGTTTTTAGGACGTTGGTTCTTCTTGGTCATGTTTAAGCGATGGAAATACAGCTGCTTCTCTCAAGGCAAAGTCAAACATCGCCTGCAAACGAGCGAGCAGGTGTACGGAATAAAACGCGCCTATAATTAGCAGTTTGTTCTTCTTAAAATAAAAAAGGGACTGAAGCTTCAGTTGTGTTTTTCTCGAGCGGCAACAACAAGCGTTCTCTCTGATGCAGAAATGTGTAATTAAAGGGAAGGCCAACTAGCCATTATAGAAGATGAGAATTTAACACAACTTCAATAATCGCAGAAATACATTTTAAACCAAAGAAAGAAAAAAGGCTTAACCATCTGCCTCAGTTATTCACACGACACCTACAGCAAGTAGTTTCCTTATTCCAGTGGTTCCACACCCTTTACTTCCCTCGAAGTAACCCTTTATTTCTACCCTTTACTAGGTGGTTCTTAAAACATGTGTATTTTTTTTAATTGCATAGCTTTTCCTGGACAGAACAACATTCACTCTTGCAGATTCTTCTTAAGATCACGACAAACTCACACAAACTCAGTTTCCTGTACAGCAGATAGATGAATAGTTGGTTAACAAGCGAGTGCTAATCTGTTTGACACTTTTACGCACAAAACTCATGCATGTATGTGTGGAGTTGTTTTGTCTGCCGCTGGCCGCCTGTGACTCAGAGGAGGCTGACAAAGACAGGAAGTGACCGAGGAGCGAGGAGGAGGAGGAGGAGGAGCAGAGCCAGACGGGAAGCTGCCTGCTCCCAGCCCACTAACTCTTTGCTGACAGCCTCGGGCCTCCGCGTTAGCTTATTTTGGCACAAGGCTTCCTGGGAATTCACTGGATAAGGATAGAGGCACGGTGGGAAAATAGCGGCGCAGAAGGCTGCCACGTTGTCAGGTGACCAGCCGTCGTTTGGAGGACAAACGCAGTGAACGGTGTCAGAGAGGCGCAGTTGTGGTTCTTTTACAATCCTTCTCCCAAACAACAGCCACAGCTGATAGTGTGCAAGTCAACCACAGCCAGCGAGTATAGCGAACGGTCAAACACTCACACGCCGTTTATCCCAAGATCATAATTGATTTGTATGGTTTCACATGGTGGAATCCTGCTGGCATTCCTTTAATGCCACAGCTGACTCACTAGTGCGGCATTACGCTTTGTGTTCACATCGGTCTCACAGAAGGAACAACGAATAGCAATGGTATGACTAACTCCTCCTTTGGATATCTAACTACTTTGCTTATGTTCAGTGTTAAACAGGGAACATGGTGCATGCGTGTAGAGTAGGTGTGGGGGTCGATGGACTGATGACCTCCTGTAGATCAAAACCAGTATTCCGTCGTTGAGGCCTGACTGGAAGTTATGAGAAAGAAGAAAAAACAGGCTTCACCAATTCTAACTAATTCTGAGCAGAGCCCTAAAATAAATAGTAATGGTAAATACGTGTTATTAAGTGCTTTTATACGGTTTACATGGTCTGGACTGGTGGCTGGGAACCACATGCTGTCTTCTTTTCCCCCCGTTTGGATCACAAGACCATATGAGTCCGTTGAACTCTTTTTTTAGGGAACAAAGTTTGGTCGGATCGCCACAGTGAAATACCTGAAAGCAAAGTCCTCCACATTCTTATCTTGTTGCTCACTTTTAGAGAATTTCCTTTTAGGTGCCAGGCCTGAAAACCACTAGACATTCTCCATATGTCTGAACCCAGCTAGATCAAGGAGCAGATTAGAGTTTCTCTGCTCTGTGTGTGCTTTGTATAAATAGAACATATGGCAGCACTTACCACTAGCATTTCCCGCCCCGCCTTGCACACCGCGCTCTGGTTGGTGGGATCTTAGCAGCAGTTGTGGACGGGTTCCCAGGCCTTCACATCTACATATGTGCGTGCATGTTTCCCCAGAGCGCAATTGATTTGACATTTCGAAAACCCACTAAGCATTAGAGTGTCAAATACTGTCCGATTAGACATCAGCTAGAGGGCACCTATGTTCACATGATCAAAGCAGGTCTTTAACACTTCCTTCAGACCCTCACGCTGCTGTGGCATCCACCGACATGCATGACTAGGATTTCCCTACATGGTGCCTCCTATGGAACCAGCCAAACCCACAGGACAGAGAATTCTTACTGAAACGTACCATCGAACACATGAATGAGGTCCTAAAATGCCATCTTAGCAGAAGCTGGTCTCCAGCAGTAGATACTGAGATGAGGCTGGACACCCTGTCATGGTTTATTATTTTTAGTTCTAATATATTGTCTGGAAGTGACACAACAGATATATATATATTGTACGTATATGTCAGCATTTTGAACCACATAGCGTGCCGAAAAGCACCCGGCTCACAGACCTGGCTTTAGATGTACTGCTGTACTGTTGTCCTCTGGAATGCAGGGTTTTTTCTTGCAGAGAGGAATTAGTGTGAGGTCTGTAAATCAGAGCAGGGGGCTGCTGCTGGTTTTAGAGGCTGTGGGGGTGGAGACCGGTCTCTGATTGATGGTTCTCTAGTGGCCCAGCACCAGCTTGGGAGAATACTTAGACGGCTGCACGAGCTGAACCCTCCACCAGGGCTGAAGCCAATGATTCAATTCATCTCGTCGTTGTTTTTTTAATCGATTGATGAACAGTAAATGCGGTATGCGGAATGAAAAGTCCTACAAATACCAAAAGCCCAAGATTGTAATTTTTTTGTTTCTTTCGCTTGACCAACCGTTTAACCCCAAAAAAAAGACTAAGAGGTCATACAGAGAATATAGCATTAAATTGACGCAGTTTCAGGACCAGTTTAAAGTCCCTTTTGGCAATTACAAGTGTTGTGCAGAATCCTGTGAGGACGCCACCAGTTACCGGAGCTTATTAACAGGATGTTTTGCAAATCCTTCTGCTAAAGCGATGCAAAGCGGCAGCCGGTCATTTTACTGGCGAGCTATTGAGGATGAAACAACAAGAGCTTCAAAATAGATCTTCATTATGTCCGTGTTTTACATTTAACTTGTGGTTTTTACTTATCAAAGCCAGCTGAATAGTGTCAGTGATCAGCCGAGGAACTGCTTTGCGTAAAGCTTCTGTGCTGCGAGCTTATTCTTTGTGTACTCTGGCGTGTATTCTGTACTGACGTCCTCTGGAGGGGGTAGATGCACCAGCCTATCTTCTCACTTGAGTCCATGCCATTTGCAGCCATTTGTACTCGCTAGTATTGATTCATAAATATTTTTTAAAAGGTGTTACGTGCAACCCGAGTACACATGCACGTGTGTATGAATGAAACTGCAGGGAGGGCCGGGCGTCCGGCTGTAAAACCATTTCTCACGCCCAGGAAAGGTCTTTTACCGGTTCTGGTTTCCCTCAAAACACCGGTGGGACTGGGCGTGTCCACGCAGGCCAAACACACGCCAATCCACGCAGACACCAGCCGATGGCGACAGTGAAACAGCAACACGCTCCGCACTGTTGGAATGTGCGGCTGGGACTCTGGCTTTCGCCGAGCGTGCTGGAACAGGTAGCGTTGGAGGAGTAACAGGTGAGCTTGACTGGATACAGACGAGAGGCAGACTTGGTTTTGCTGTCAGAACAAGTGTGCCCAAAAGTCGGCGTTGGGCTTCCGATGCGATGTGCCGATTGGCTGTGTACTGCGGGGTTACGCTCTGATACCTGGCTGAGTGAAAACCGAGCTTGGAACAGGTCAGGCAGCTTTGTGTGAGGTTCCAATTCACACAAGTTGTTTACGCACACAGGGTAGTCAGCGCTTCAACTTGCAGTGGAAACATTCAGACAAACTAACGTGCACGCTTTCTTGCATCTTTCAGTAATATGATGCAGCAGACCGGATAATTACATGATGATGCATACTGACTTAAAGTAGTACTGCACATCATTCAGTCATTCAATAGCTTTCATGTGAGGGAAGCTGAACCGATGGCATTGTATTAAAACCACGTGCGTGTGTACTTGGAAATTAGGGTGAGCTTAGGTAACGTCTTTTCTTTGTAGATGAAACGCTCCATGTACTGAAGCATGAAGATGTTTGTCATTTGTAGCTAAATGTTGGTCTGTTTTGTTCACGTAAATTAAAAATGAATTCGTAAATACAGAACTACCAATGTTATACAAACAAAAAAGCCCAAAATATCTTTGACCTCAATACTCTAAGTTATAATAATTACAAAAGTAGCATGGAAAATGTGTATTTAGGTGTAATTATGTTAACATGATGAGTTTAGTCGATGCAGTATGGTTTGGTATTTGTTCATTTAAGATAGATTTATAGACCGAATATAGCCAAAAATATTTTATGAATAAATATTTAGATTTGTATGAGAAACATTCTGAATAATGTACACTTGATCTCCAATCTCTGTCCACACCACCTTTCCTTGCAGCCAGCCACATCCAAACAAGCCCAGTCACGCTCACAGCAGCCGTGAACATCCGTTGTATTTTGATCTTAATCTCCCCACCGTTCGCATTCAGATTCTCTCAAATCTAAATCTAACACACATGCACACACCCAACCGCAAAAAGGACCCCGACTCACTTCAAACGAAGGCAGCTAATTGACTCATTACGCTCTGCTGCAAATTTTCGATTTTCTAATTACAAATAGATTTTTAATGGTGTACAGTTGGAGTCGACATGCCATGTGGCAGACAGGCGGCCTGGAAGCTTGCCAGTCCTTCCTGCCACTTTAGATGCTTCTACACGAATCCCAAAGGTGCCATTCTTAGTCATGTGACAACATGACAAAAAAATGGATTACCTCATGTTCGCACATCCTTGGGCATGTCTCTGCCACTTATCTCCCAACGCAATGACACATGAGTCATGCAATCATGTTATTAGGGGATCAAGAGTAGTACTCCACCCGGGTAAAAGAAATAGCCTCGATTTCGTAACCAAATGCAGAACGCACCGCAGTATCCTGCACAACACCATCAACGCACAAAAGCCTGCACTCAAATGATGATGCTCAAACAAAGAAAGGCGAGTGATACCACATGTACAATTTCAAAAAGTCTCATGAAAAGGAGAAAAGTATTTTTGGACTAATACATATGGAATTATTAACATAGTTTGGGTGCAGGTCCTTCTCATATATTCTTTCTCCAGATTTTCTTTCAGCTCAAACACTCAATCCTGATGACATGAATTATAATGACTCTGTGTTTGAAATAACCGGTGCATTGTTTTAACACCATGAAAGAGCAGCAAACAAAAGTCAAAACAGTTCATTAAAACCCAGTGTCCCTTAATATGATTTAAAATTCAGCAGAAAAAAAAAGAACTCTCTTCAACTGATAAATAAAGTCTCTGCCGCACTATTTGAGTGATTGTCTATCTTGGCTGTAAAATGTGTAACATTTGGAGCTCTGATCCAACAACGACAACGCGTCTCGCTGTAGCCGAGACTGCTGGAATAAAACAAATACCCATCATTCCTGCTGCATCTCACATTCACAGATCAACCAGCTCACTCAGAAGGCATGTAAAGGCTTCACTCACACACTCACACACACACACACACACACACACACACACGTCTGAACCGCCAGCCGAGGTAGAGAACCACACACACGAGAGAGACACAAACGGTCCGCAGCGCACAGAGAGGGACGGGTACTTTTAGCGGCGTGAACTTAACAATTCATAATTTCTTGTGCTCGACGCAGTTCCCCATTAAAAAAACCCATTCATTAAACGCTGTGTTACTTCTCTAAAGGGAGGTGTTTGTGTACTTGTGCGTTTAGTTACCGTTGTTACTGTGCCTGACGCAGTCCTGCAGCACTGCGTGCCACTTCTTTTGTTCCTTCTCCGTCCTCACGCAGAAGTAGTGGTGGCGGGCGTACGGGTGCCACAGGATGAGGGGGAACTGGGACGCGCACTTGATGAACGGAGTACTGCCCGCTTTGGCCTTGATACCTACAGCAGGTCACATGACAAAGCGAGAATGAGAAACCGCAAGATCCAGACGGCGCTTTATAGACACTGAGGGAAATGCAAAAAAAAAATGATGAAGGAAAATAGATTAAAGCAGGTAAATTGGGTGAAATAAATGTGTAAAATATCTGGAAATCAGTACTCCTTTTTGTTCACTTTCACTTAGTCAATTAATGACACAGATTCAATACCAAACCAATTTATTTTTAATAAACTGTTGTATTTACCATATATACATATATATGTTCATAATTTTCTGTCATCCACCTACCTGGGAGGCTGGTATTAATCAGCTCCATGTACTGCTCTATTGAGTTTAGGGCCTTGTACCCAGCGCAGTTGATGGTTCCTTTCGGGTGAAGGCCTCGTTCGTGAGCCTGTTGGAGAGATGGCAACAAAAAGAAGTTGTTTCAGCACAAGTGTCCCGGTCGGATAGCAGTTCAGCGTGAGTGACAACGACACTCACGGTCTTGCTCTCATAGAGGCTGATGGTGTAGCTGTCTGGCACAAACACAAAGCGATTCCTCCACTTCCGATTCTCCTCCAGATACTGAAACAGACTCCCAGAGAAGATGGACCGGCCTGCCAGAGCGTCCTAAAGGAAAACAGCGTAAAGCAGTTGAGAGTATGAAACATTATCAGGGGTTTGGGTTAGAGAACTGATATGTTGCACACACAAAGAACAGATAACTATTAATGACAGGGTCACTATTGATTATGTCTGACGGTCCTTCAAAGGTGCAGTCTAATGTTACTGCATTAGGTCGTACTGTTTGATCAGCTCAATGGAAATTTGGAATACATGCAAATTAATAATATATATTATTCTGTTAAATACATTTCAAATGTAGTTTGTGTTTTAGTTAAGTCACCGGTGCACAACTCGCTCTAGTGTCATAAGCCCTCACGGGCAGCGGTCCTCCGTATAGTGAAGAGAGCAGAGACACCACTTTGATAGAATTCAAAACGGCATCTCTGCTCATGAGTGAAATGTGCTCCACTTCCCCCTCGGTGATTTGAAAATGTGAACAAACGTTTGGACCTTCAGTGCGTCGAGCAACCGAACAGATGAGAGGAACAAAAAGCGGTCAAGCAGAGGCCTCGCTTGTGAGGTATTAACTGGCACACGGACCTCAAGAATGAGCCCATTCATCCCGTGTGTGACACATCGAGCGCTCTTTGCCTGACAAAGCCTCCATTGATGTGAGTTTGTTTAATGTAACAGTTTAAATAAAAGCGATAGAGTAAATTAATGTGACGGCTTGCCATTTCTAAGAAAGAAAGATGGAGAGGTTTCATTTTGTCAAGTTATTATCAAGCTTTGATCATTCGAACCAATTATTTTAATCACAAAATACACCAGTTGAAAATTAGAATAGAATAGAATGATGAAATCAAAAAAATAGATTAGTCGACAAAGCCCCAAACAGGTTTGAACCACTTTTCATATTAGCTGAAATGCACTCGCCTTCCTGTGAAGCAGCTGTGACTGCGGTGCTCCTCCTCCTTCGATCTCGAAGCGGATGCTGTTGAAGAGAGCGACTGCGTACTGCTGCTCGTACACATCGCTGAACTGCTTCATGACCTCTGTGGTGCGACCTGCAGGAGGACACACGGACAGACACACAAGATCAGGAAACATCCAAACTACACAAACCAATCAAAGAAATACTCCTTTTTTTTCTTTTCTTTTTTTTTTTAGACAGATCTCATCTTATTGTTTAACCATCAATTCTGCTGACAGATACGCAAATTTAAGTTTGAAATAAAGTATCTTTTTAATTAATATCTGCTGTGTACATTTGGGAAAATCCACTTTCTGTGTGTGGACATACTGTCTGAAAGCGTCGCAATGTCAGAAAGGCCCCAACCTTCACTGCTGCTATCGGCACTTTATGAAAAGTGCCGTATAATAAAATGCAAAAGCAGGCAAGAAATATATAGTCCCTCTTGTGCAGCACTCAACAAAGAGATACCAAACACGTATCATCGGCACAGTTCACTTTATGTCAAAGCTATCTGGTGCAGCCCTATCATTGGGCTGGATTGCTTTTGCATAGTTACGATAGAACAGTCAGAAGTCCTTATAAACCCGCCCATATGGTCCGGACTCTTTATTGTGGCTGCACCCTTCAATTCAATAGAAATATACTGTCTTACTTCTAATTTTTCCCAAGTAAAGCCTGATCCCCAAAACAATTATTTTTATGAGTGGAACATTTTTGGGTTGTGGAATATTATGGATATTATGTATCCTTTAAATAGCAAGTAATTAAGTAAGTAATTATGATTCAATCACGAAAGTAATTGTCAGTTTCAGCCTTAGTTTGGGGTTCCCGTGTTGCCTGTAGATCTTCCCCACAGCTTGACTCAGCATTTCTGTCCCACCACTGTTATGCGAGCGGCATCCTAATAAAGACTCCTAGAACCTGCTGGAGGGGACGGGAGCTTTTCCTGCATTCCATCAGTGGAAAATGAGTTTGCGAGTCTGCGTGTTTGCCGCAGTCAGCAGCAGACTTTGACCGTGATGTTTATGGAAGGGACAACGCAGGAAGGAAGGAGCAGGCATGCAGTGGGAGAGCAGGAAGGAAAGAGCTGACGGGACTCGGCAGACGGGGAGAGAACGTGGGGGAGACAGGGACACACAACGCTGTTAAAACACTCTGCGTCATACGAGGAGCAGACGCAGGCTGGAGGAAATGTAGAGGGAGATTTATAAAGCAAGGACTCCTCTTAAATCCACTGTTTAGAAGGGCTGGCTAATCAATCCTGATGAAAAAAAAAATCCCTGTGGTTTAGGAATGTCTTGCCATTCGTTCTGGTTGACTCACTCAAGTTAAATGCAGATACTTTGTCTTCCCCGGGGTCCCAAAGGGCTATTTTTATTTAATCTTATTTGCAAGTAATATGGATCTTATCCATTCTTATTTGGTCAATCTATTAATGTGGATAACGGATGTTTCGTAGAAACTCTTTTCCCGGTGAGGGAAAATTTCAGCAAGATTAGCGTTGGTACTTTCCACCGGATGTCTTGCTGGTTGTCTTGCTGGGCCAAAGTAGGCAGACTGGATAATTGTACATGGGCAGTGTTTTGGGCACTTGGAAATTGGGATTTGGGAACAAACACCACATCATAAATCACTCAATCCTCAGTAATAATCGATGTCGACATGCCAAAGGTTTAGGTTCTATCCTCTCATAAGGCCTTAGAGAAACCAGACCTTACACCAAAGAGTTAATATGAATTAAATTCACTGTACCACAATGCACCAACATGACATGGCAGCATAATCGCTAAAGCAGAGCGCCCTTAACCCGATCTCTAACGGGGAGTCCATGCAGTAAACTCATAAGGTTACTTCTACACTCAATGTCATGCTTTCGGCCACTAACTGAAGCTCATGACCATAGTTCAGGGTCATGAAGCAGACCAAGAGGCAAATTGAAAGCTTTCCCTTCCAACTTAACTCTGTCCACGATACCAATCCGCCATCGGGTAGCAAGTGACTCCCAGCCCGGAGGGCGCCATCCAACATTTTCCGGCAATGGATAATGACCTCAGACTTCCAAATGCTGACTGTAAACGATCACCTCATATTTGACTGCTAACTTCCCAATTGTGTGCTGATGTCCACAAAAAACACTTAATCCGGAAAGAGCAAAGAAGAGGGTCCAAAACTAGACACTCTCCTCCCCCTGGCTGTGACGAGATTCTTTCCATGTAAATAGGGACAAAGAAGCCCATTGCCCACCGAAAACCTGTTTGACTTCCTGCCGACGATACCGGCACGATACCGGCACGATACCGGCCCTGCTCTCACCTCGGTTACAGGATATAAGGGACGCTTGTGGGTTGCAATAAGGAGTTTTATCTTTACAAGTCAGGTTGATCAAAAAACAAACATCTCTTCCCTGGCGTGATTTTGTCATCAGAGGATTTGCTATCCCCCACAAGACATACGGACACCATAGGTCCACCAAACACGTGTAGACTGGATGAGCAAAGACCAGTGAACCCTCCAGTCCTATTTAAAAGAAAAAAAGTAACCGACAGTAACACCAGGTTGGTTCCAACAGTCCTCTTTGCCGTCTGATCCAACTCACCACCGGGTTCATTTCTTGACCCGTGTAGAAGATAAACGGCTGCGGAGCTGATGGGAGGTGCAGTGAGGCCAACTAGATACAAAAAGGTTCACTTGTGCAAACGTGTGGTACCAAACTCAAGGAAAGGGGCAGAACTCCCTTTTAACTGGGCTGATGTGGGAATGGTGACGTCTACTCTGCCAAATGCATCACTGAGAACAAAAGGATCACCTCTTTACATGAGATTGGGGCGGCTGTGGCTAAGCGGCTATGTTGGGTTGCCCCGTTATCAGCTGTATTCTTAACATCAATTAGGATTAGGATTGGTTACACACAGAGGTCAAATTCCATCTATGTGACTGTACTTAAATTAAATTTAAGATTAAGATAACCTGAATGAACGATGAGCATAATTCACAATTCAGCTGAGTGGGCTCACAAGGGAGGAGATCCTTTTTTGAGAATGTGCTTGTGCAGCAAGGATGAAGAAACCTCCTTGTTGGGAGGTACAAACTCCAAACAATACTCCCAATGTAGAAAAATGAGTAGAATACCCTCCCTCCCTCTCCAGCCGCTCACACCCACCCACACACACTCAAAGTACTTCACAGTACTTCAAAGGGCATGTTATCTGTGATGGTATTAATGTGTACTTGTGCAAAGGTCCCACAGATGGGTATCTAGAAGACACGGATGGAGGGTGTGTGAGAGCAAGGCAGCGGTTTCAGCTATTAATCATGCGACATGTTCTCACCTGCTTTACCTCAACGACTCACTGTTCTCCGCTGCGCCTGCAATCACTCGCCTCTTGTGTGTGTGTGTGTGTGTGTGTCTTTCTTTCTTTCTTCTTTCTTTATTAGATTATCAAACTTGTTGATGATTGTTTTAACAACCTCCCGCAGTACGACAGCCAGTGTCCTCGGATACATCCTAATAAAGAGCACCTACATAAAGTCACAAACCAGCTTCTTTTACTTTCCACTATTTCTGACAGTATTTCTCTTTCTGGTTCATATGAAACAGCAGCAACAAACACAGTGAGTGTCTGGACCTCAGGAACACAGTCTCTGGGTTGCAGGAGTGGTTTCCTCGTGCTGGTACGCCTGCCAGCATACACATACAAGCACCATTAGAATGTTGAAGGAACATTGTATCTAAAATGATTCTGAAAAGCAACACTGTCTGAAGGATCCAAACATTTAACAGAGCAAGTTCTCTCTTAGGAGGTTTTAGACCTTGGATGCATTGCCAAACTAGCATTAAAGTGTTATCTTCCTAAGGAAAGCACCCAGGCCTACACATTCATGGAAATGTTTCAGTTTCTGCATCATTTCTCCGCTTCCATTTCTAGTTGGAAAATAACCGCAGCGACCTGCACGATACGCAGTGGGAGGCTGGAGCATTTGAAACTTAAATAGCAGGCAGTCTCAAACTTATACAAACATGCTCCCCTTTGGGCAACCTACTTATTATCTCTGAGAAATAGGCCTGCAAGCAGAGTATGGGGGAACTGTTTAAAGTAGAGCAGGGCAACAATACGCTGGTATGAAAGAGAAGCTTTGTCCTCTAATGAAACGGGAAAGGGGACACTTGCTGAGAGAGAATTAAAAAGCCGGGTGTCTGCAGGTATTTGGGTCCAGTTTGATAAGGGACCGTAAAGCAGACGGTTTTGAGACAAATCATGCTGTGGGTCTCAATGGATTTCCCTCCGCAGGTCAGTGCAACAGCTCAGTTTAAAGGTCAGTTTCATCTGTAATATAGCTTGTCCAACACATGCCAGTTTTCTGACAAATAGAGAAACGGAATTAGTTTAGAATTTATGGAAGTGACACATTTGAGACCGTAAGATTAATTCCTCCGCCCATTATTGGGAAAATATATACTTTAGATACTTTTAAGAGAGTTTTATGTTCCCCAACTGGACGATAACGAAATTGTGTTTGTGTTTCATACAATTGTGTGAGTTTGAAAGCCATAGAAATAAAATAAAATAACTTTTATGTAATTTCAATCTGTGGGAAACTTGTCTCCATTGCCCCCCCCGCCACTCCCCGCTACTCCCCGCTCTGCCTTACCTGTTATCGCCTCCCGCCTGCCCTCATCCAGGTGAGATGAGACCACGTCCCCCATGGCTACAGTAGAGACCCGCGGACCGAGTTATCCGAGCTGCTTCACGGCCGGTGCTCAAATATCCGAGTCAGACCCACCGGGTAAAATCCTGTTCCTCCCTGAGAGGCGCTGCTGCGTGTCTTCTCTCCCGGGTGGAGGTGGAGGACTGCGGCGTGGTGGAGAGGAGCAGGGGGAGGTGAACACTGGCCTGGTTCACACCCTCCGGGAGTCATCACTGGTTCGACGTGTTCGGGCGGCCCTGCTAAGGGTGTGGCCAAAACGAGCTTTCGCGCTTTCGCGTGCCGATAAGATGTTTAACGTTCACTGTGAGCGGCGCGCGCGTGCGGCTACACGGTTTAAAACACAAACCAAACGCGTTGTAGCCTGCATATTGATTACCACCGAGCCAGGTGGCTTATTGGAACTATATATTTTTACTTTGGGGATTAAATTGATTAAATGAATTCACTATTCACTATTAAAGTCCAATGCAATTTGAATACAAATATAAGTTTGACGGGCAGCGGAAATGTTTCCGTGATGCTCCCTGTTTGCCGCAGAAAGATGAATGCTGCCCTCTGGTGGAGACTTTGTTTCTCGGCTTTTTACTATGATTGGGTGGTGGGGGGCTACATTTTATCAATATTAATGCTCATTGATCTATAATGCAACACTCTAGACATTTTAGTTGATGTGAGGGCTCGCTGCCTTTGTCTCTATTAACTAACTAATGTATGTTGGCAAAATAAGCAGTTTGAAGACATCTGTGGGAACCTTTAACAGCATTAAATCCATTACGAGTAATTCACTGTAGGCCGAATTCAAACAATATCACCCAACTAAACACTGTGAAATTACATAAGAAAGAACGATGCAAATGTATCCATGCTTTTTAACATTTTTACCTAATTGAATGACAGCTGTACAATATCTTCCGAGATGTCGGATTAATGCATAATGATTTATCAGGGACTCTAGAACAACAAGGCTTTATTGCGTAGCTAATCAATTACAGTTTCATCTAAACATCCGTATGCTGTAAACGTCCAGCATCTCCAATGAGGGGACAGTGCGTAAGGATACGCGGTGACGTTTCTCCTCCGCAGCGATGTGAGGTGATCGCAGAGAGGAGGGGGAGAGAGAGAAAGCGAGAGAGGGAGAAAGCGCGAGGGAAGAAGCAGAGGGAGAACACTCGGCCCAACACTCAGCAGCATCATGGCACCTATCGGATTAAAGGCAGTGGTCGGCGAAAGTAAGATTATTTCTTTATTAGCCTGTTTCCTCTGACTCTTGTGAGATGCGCGCTGCCAACGAATGCGGTCGTGTTTGTGTGCGTGTTTTCTTATTGGGGGGGCAGGGGGAGATGCGGATATCAGCTACAGTGCATCTGGAGGATGGTGATGATGACGATGAAGGTGGCGCTCTTGATGTTCCATCGCATCCTAGTGTGGATAACCCGCAGAGGCTGGTTTGTCCCACTGCTGCGCTGCGGATGCGCAATTGTATTCCGAGCGGCGGAGCCCTGAAAATGGATTCATCTAGCGGCGATCAGCCCATGGATGAACGGAGAAATCCTGCTCCAGAAGGATGCAGGAAAGCCCTTTGGAGCCTCACTCAGTGGTTATGTGCAGGAATAATCTGTACTGCAGCGGCGCGGTTGAGTGTGGCTTTGCTCGAGTGTTTTTGACGTTTCCTCGCTTTCCGCACGTGATTTATAGCTAATAATCTCCCGCTAACAGGTAATACAGTGCGTCCGTGGGACTCCCTGATCTCAACAGAGCCTCACCCTTCTGAAGGAGCGTGAGCCGGTTGCGTAAAAACACCCTTTCTGCACCGGAGTGCTTCAGGGCTGAATCAGGGTTGTGCTGTCAGCACAGCGCTGCGCAGCGGAATAATGGCGGATTGTGCACAAGAAACCAGAGAGTTGCTCTTTAAAATCGCCGCTCCGCAAAAAAAAAAAGAAAAAATCCGCATTATGTGTAGGCCGATGCGCCGTACCGGCCAGTAACACTCGCCCCATCGCTCCATGCCCTTTCGTCAGCATCATGCCCTTTGCTGGCAGTGCGCCGCTGATCAGTCAGTGTAATCCAGCGTTATTATGGATGGATTATCGTCTCGAACGTTTAGTGCTTGATTTTGTCATTTAGACTAATTTACTCCCGGGGATGCTCCGGTGGCTCCGGTGTGCGCGTGGTGCTGATGCAGGCCTCAACGCGGAGGCGCATCAGGGTCAGCTGGGTGATGTCAGACAGGCCTATCGTGACTTAACGACCGATGCAGAATTTGTGAGGCCTGGTGGCATCTACATCACTGATGTCCCCCCCATAAGCGCGGCCTCTTTATTTCAAACGGGCCCATGGTGCAGGATTGTTTTTTATCTTAATGATTTGATTTAACATTTTGCTACAGAAATCCAAGCTGCCGCTCTGTCTCGCTCTCTGGCAATAAGACCGCTGAATCTCCAAATGTCTTAAATTGTGTCAGGATCATTGGCACATTAATCATGTGCTGCACATTCTCAGCCCCCCCCCATCACACGTGCACACGTGCAGATACACGTCCACCTTCTACGTCTTACAGAGTCACTGTTTTCTGCTATGATATGATAGTGGGTGAAATGGTTCGTGCTTCGGCTGCGAATCAAACCTCCCACACGTGAAGCTCAGCCTGAACGACGCAAACCCCAAAATGCAAATTCTTTAAGCATGAGCAAATTAAATAATGTAACAGATATAATGAAATAGTTTCCTGATTGTTGGTGTATGAAGCCGTGACTATTTAGCATCTCAAACGATGACGTTTTCGTCCCCCTTTGTTTGCTTCATTGAACTTAAAAACGTTATTGGTTAAGTCGCTCAAATGATATCATAATGTTGTCATCAATAACAGTCCACTATGTAATTGCTAGCCAGCCCCTCTGTGGAGTTGGAGCAGATTTTTAATAAGCAAATGCCTAATGCTATTACGGGGAGAGTTAGCCATTTGGCAACATGGCCGATTTATTTTAAACAAGGACCTAAGACTGAAATTTCATAGAAATTATATCATCTGAACATCCACAACACTATAAATATGGCTTCACGTGACCAATATTCTATATATATCCTATTCTATATAATATCCTCTGCATCGTGTCTTTATAACTGCCTATTTCAGTTTGTACTAAAGGCAGGAACACGTAGCCTCTCAGTGTCGAGTGAGTTATCTTTGTGTTTCCCAGAAGGTTGAGGCTACACCTGCGCCCAGTTTGGTTGAGTTGAAATGGAGGTGGTAGGCAGAAGGGGCGGTTGTGGTGGGGGGGTTACACCATCATGGGTCTTTCTCTCTCTCTGCAGCAGTAGATGTAGCAGCCGGGAGGAAGGAGGGGGATGGGCAGCGAGCAGAGCTCTCACCCTCCCTTACCATGACGCCATATATATGAGCATCACAGAGAGCGAGAGGCAGAACATGAAGATGAGGATCTCAGCAACCAGAAACGACCTGAGCTGGTGGACTGATGGAATTCAGGGAGCAGTTCTTTCTCTAAATTACAACCGTGGCGTTTAAAGGACACAATATTATGTATGTTTCAACATACAATGAAATGCACTTAAGGGTCTTTGGATCTCGTTTTATTGTGCAGATGTTCCATTCCAAACATTTGTGAAGGGCTGTCGTGTCTTTCTTATGCTCAACCAGATAACATCTGCCATTGCAATCACTCGTCCACGGTATTACACTCAAGGGTTCATCGTGGCGCAGGGGGTTGAGCCGGTGTGAACCGCAAGGTTGGTGGTTCGAGTCCCGGCTGCCCCACATCTCAAGTCAAAGTGTCCCTGAGCAAGACACCTAACCCATAATTGCTCCCTGGGCAAAATGTAAAAAGCCATGGGTTTAAAGTGTAATGTAAGTCGCTTTGGATAAAATCCATAATAATAATTATAATATTTATAATAATATAAATATAATTATAATAATAATAATAATAATAATAATAAAGAACGTCTCTTCCTGGGGCCTTTTGAAGAATTTACTCAAATCATTCAAATGATCAGAGCGACAGTCGTAATCCAAAAAGTGAAAAGGGCACATCACACCTGCAGCAGTAAAGGCTTGAGTTGTTTCTGTCCTCGTGTGTTGAGGACTGTGAGTGCAGAAGTAAACTGATAGCATCTCCATGTTTTGATCATGTTTGGTCTATTTGTTGTAATTCCATTTGAGTTTACGCTGCTGAACATCCGGCACAAAGCCCACCATCTACTCTTACTGTATCTTCAAAATAAAGCTGGAGTAGCACGTGGCTAGCTTAGCTTAGCATACCGACTGGATAGAGGAGGAAATGTAAGGCCTGCTTTGTCCAAAAATCCATTTCTTGGCAAACAGAAGACAGACGCATCGACTCTGCAGCTTCCCAGAGTTTTGACGTCACAGTGACGTGACCATGTGTAGTTTTGTTTTTCCTGTGTGGAGAGAAAGGTCAAAATCTGTGTTTACGAATGGTTAGCCGTGGCTAGAGACCCTACTGAACAGATGGATAAACTAAATAGCTCCACCCCCCCCCCCCGAATCACACATCTCAGCTTGTGGTTAAAACAAATGAAATTCAGCACGTTCGTTAGTGAGTTTTAGACATTCTGGGGCAGCTTATTTTTTTATTTGTAAAGGCTAGCTGTTACCTCCTTTGTCCAGGCACTCCGCACCAATATAACACTGACAAGGATTTTCCTTTTTCGAAAGCAAGAAAAGTTTCCCAAAATGCTGAAATATTCCTACAAGAATCGGATTGGTTGTGACAACTCAGTGGACTTTGAAGTATGGAAGCAGGATGTGTGTATTTGCTCCTCTTTGTGTTGGGTTTTGAAGAAAAGAAGGAAGTGGGAAGGCAGACGTGCAAACGCGCACATACAAACACACACACACACGCACACACACACTCATGCACCAATCTTTCATGTGACCTTGGAAGCATCACTGGACCGGAGCATCAGTAACTCGTCTGCGCTCAGAGTGTGACGCAGGCCCTGCAGCCCCCGGGCCTTCGTGCACCCTCCTCCCACCCCACACCACACACACACACAAACAAACACACGCACACACACAGACAACACACACTGCAGCCTGCAAGCGCACACTCCCAAATAAATTATTTATGAAATGTCATGTCGCCGTGGCTGCAGAGCGCGAAGGGCTGGCTGAAATAGAGCTCTCTATTTGAGGGTGGCAGTCGCTCATAATCCTAATGAATTCCCCTTCTGAGGAAGAGTGCTGCGTCAGAGCTGGCAGACATCCTCCTCCTCCCGCTCCTCTCAGCAGCAGTGATTGCCTCCCTACGCCTCCTTTTGCATACATACAGTATGTGACAAAAACAAAAGAGGAGGATAGCATGACGTAATAATGGTGTGTCACACAGTCGTTGAACCATAACAGGAGCATATATAACATGATGTGGCTCTTCGTGGTGTACATCAACCTGCTGAGCTGGTGGAGACTGCAGAGCTTCAGATGGAGCCTCCACTAAAGTCAGGGTTTTCCAGCCAGCAGCAGTCGATCACTTGCTTGTACTGTCTGCCATTTTCCTCACCCTGGGCTTCTGTGAGTTTACTAGCTTCAATTAAATCCCTCTCTGGTTAGTTTCTTTGGTGTGCTTAACAATAATATAACTAATTAAAATAATTTCAGGGGCTTTAAGGAAATCATCCATCCATCCATCCATTTTCAACCGCTTATCCGGGGTCGGGTCGCGGGGGCAACAGCTCCAGCAGGGGACCCCAAACCTCCCTTTCCCGGGCCACATCTACCAGGTCTGACTGGGGGATCCCAAGGCGTTCCCAGGCCAGTACAGAGATATAATCCCTCCACCTGGTCCTGGGTCTTCCCCGGGGCCTCTTCCCAGCTGGCCGTGCCTGGAACTCCTCCCTTTAAGGAAATCAGGGGTCTTGAATGATTGCTTGTTGAAGAGGACTTAGCAGGAGCACATGGATACATTAATACATTAGACTGCATCCACACTCAGCTGGACATATAAATAGTTTTTACCATGTGACATCAGGTTTTGCAATATAGACCTTGATTTGTGAACCCGCTAATGTTGTAATTTATTCACATGAAATACATTCTGTATTTAAAAAATAAACTGTTAGTGTAGTGAAATTGTACAAAGTTGTACAAAAGAAAACATATAAATATATACAAGCATCAACAAATAAACTATGATGTATCTTTTTTTGTGGCTAAAAGTACTTCCAATGAGCAGCTGGCCACTGGACACATCAT